TTTATACAAAGTAAGAGTTCTGATAGTGAGGAGAACAGATAAATGAAGGTCACAGTCTGAGTTTATTTTATTTAATAGAACCTGGTATCTAAAGTCTGACACCAATTTTAGCAGTGATTCCTGGTTCTCTCAATGTATTTTTCCAGGTGCAGTACCAGTTTGAGAATATAAATATGCCACTCACATAGTTGCAGGCTACTTCCAGGGTGCCTACACTCACACAATACAGAACACTCCTCAAGATGCAAATTACACATTATCCTTTTATGTTAACATTTCTTATCTTCATTACTTTTCCCCAAGCAATGCTTTGAAAGCAAAGTCTAGATCAGGGTTGTCCAACTCCTTCAACCATTGGAACAATTTATCAAGGGTTGTGATAGATTCTCCATCACTGATCATTTTTAAATCAAGATATGCTCTCGGAATTATTTTGGACAAGTTCTATAGCCTGTGTTAAACAGGAAGTCATACCAGACTGACAGTAGTCCCTTTTGGAATCTATCAGTCTGTCAGGGCTACTGGGTCAAGCTGTTTGCAGACACTGGAAGACGATGCTGCATTGTGTTAAACAGGAAGTCATACCAGACTGACAGTAGTCCCTTTTGGAATCTATCAGTCTGTCAGGGCTACTGGGTCAAGCTGTTTGCAGACACTGGAAGACGATGCTGCATCACTACAGCCCAGTCACACATTGGAAGGTTAGTTTTACAACCTTCACACTCACTAGCAAACATGCAAATCTTAACTCGAAACACAACAGTTATCCACTAAGAACAGTTTTCTACACATAACCTATAAATACAGAAATGAAAACATTTCATATGCATTTGGCCTCTACATAATAAAAGACCTAACATCTTACAAACTGTATCACAACCCCACAGCATTATTCCCTTTATTCACACTGGTCCCCTATAATTCCACATATCTAACAGAGAAAAACAACATACAGTGCTCTTTGTAGGTCTTGCTGGAGCCCTAAGCATAAGTAACAATGTGAACCAAAGGGAGTGAACCAGAGTAGGCTTGGCTTTGTCAAAATAGCAATGCACCAGGTGTTAGATAACCAAGTAAGCACATTCCTGACTGGAGAAGATGGTACAAAAACACAGATCTCTCGTGTAATTAATAGATCTCTCAGAGATCTAACAGGTCTCTCATTCTTACGACATGGTACAAGAACATTCATAGGATAAGGAGGGAATGACAGGATAACAGATGAGAATGTCTTGTTCAAACTAGCAGGTACAAGGATCATCATCATCATGTTCCTATTACACCTCTGGCATTTAGGGCAGCGACGAAGCTCCTCCACTCCTGTCTGCTTCTGGCAAGTCTTTCAATGATTCCTCAGCTGCGCCCCAGGTTTTTCAGCTCGGCTTCCACAGCTCTTCGCCATGTTGTTTTCGGGCGGCCTCGTTTTCGCTTGCCTTCAGGTGTCCATCTTATTGCTATTCTGATGATAAAATCAGTTTCCATCCAAAGCACATGGCCGATCCATCTCCAACACCTCCTGGCAATGGTGGTGCTCAGATCCTCTTGGCTGTAATCTGTCAATAGATCTTGGTTTGAGATTGTTCTGGGCCAAAAGATACAGAGGATTTTTCTGAGGCAGGTTGTATGGAATGAAGACAGTTTGGACATGTCCTACTTTCTCATTTCCCAGCATTCTGCACTATAAAGTAGTGTTGAAAGTACACAGCTCTGATAAATCTTGAGTTTGGTTTTGGTGTCGTATTTTGATGATTTCCAGACTGGCTTGTTCCACTGTCCTGGCTGATGGTGCTGCCCAAGTATGTGAATGTTTCTACATAATCCTCTATCCGTACTGGTGATGGTGAGGTAATATTAAATGTCATGATATCTGTCTTATTGTGGTTGATTTTCAATCCAATTTGCTGGCTGAATGCGTTGAGTCGGGTTGTTTTTTCTTGTATGTGATAGGAGAGTAACATCATCTGCAAAGTCCAGGTCTTCAAGGGATGAGAAGAGTGTCCATTTAATGCATCCTGGCATGTCTTCTGTTGTACGCCACATTACCCAGTCAATGGCAATGTTGAAGAGGATTGCGGACATGACAAACCCCTGACGTACTCCTGTTTTGACTTCAAAACTGAGCTCACTGTGATCAACACTGCATGTAAAGTTGAAATAGAAGCTGTGGAAGTATAACATTGTATAAGTATAACGTTGTATAAGGGGACATGCTGGATACATTGTATATGAGAGGGCATGCCAAAACATGTTACAAAGTATCTGAGGGAGCACACATAGGGACAGTTAGCTTTTGAATGGAGAAGCAATTAAGATAGAGCCAGCATGTCTAAGAAGCAGGCATCAGAATGGAAGGTGTGAAGGGCAATTAGTTAAGTTAACTGGAAGCTGTTAAAGGAGATTGTTAAGGGTGGCAGGTAATTGAAAATACGTGACTGGTCTCAGGGATCTCGAAGAGTGGTGACTAAAATCTTTTTCTTCTTTTGTCTGTAACTTCTCTGTAACTTGTTCTCCAGCAAGCTGTATAAATTAAGAGACACAAGCCCCACTCGGGGGGCTCACTTCTAAATGTATTAGCAGAGCAGCTTTGCTAATAAAACAGAGTGGTCTGATAAATTGTGAGTCTGAGTCAAACTTTGACAATTCTTTTGATTTATATGGAAAGGAATTCCATATGCCCGCAGAATGCATCATAGGCTGGTCTTGTGAATGCTATCAAAAGCCTTCTCAAAGTCTATGAAATGTATGTAGAGTTCCTGTTGCCATTCTAAGCACTGTCCACTAGTGGCCATGTCTTGTTGTGGCAGGACAGCTTGCGTGCTCTAACGATCCCCAGAGTCTGTATCGGCGGGGGCTTTTTGCTCCTGGTAGATTCAACGATGCTGGATTGGTCTCTATGGGAGGGGCCAGACAAAACAGACACCCTGGTCCTCCAGGTTGGGGGTTAGGCACAGGGCTAGCAACCCTATCCTGTAAAAAACAAAATATGTTATGGAAACAGCGAGGGAGAATGTACAAGGATAAGGGTGATAACTAATAACACCTGGAGTGTAATACATAATTTGTTTGTATCAGTGTGTAAAAAGAGACGTCCTAGGAGGGGCATCTTTGAACTGGTCTAGGGGACAGGATCCTGGTTTCCTGATTGAATCAGTACTGTAGCTCTTATGGGGTGCTAATACTGAACTTTATCGACAATAAACGTGGCCTAGCACCTTCGCTACCATGGGCGGCAAGTACCATAGCCAGGTGTGACTCCACCCACACTCCGTCCCCAAGCGGCCCCTGCTTCCGCTCGGCACGGCCACTGCAGTCTCCCTGTGGGGTGGCACCAGCTCGGGCCTTGCCACCCACCCTCCTGGCGCTCCAGAGCTGGGAAGGCTGGGGCCACACCACCTGCTCTGGGGCTGGGGGGGGGAAGGAAGCTAGTCTGGGGTGGGGGCTGGCTTCCTCGGGCGGGGAGGGGGCTTTGGGCTCGGGCAGGGGTGTGGAACGGCTGGTGCTTCAGGCAGAAGGGGCGGGGGTGGGGGCTAGCCTCCCCCCAGCTGGCGGTTCATGCCCACCTATGTTTGCTATCAAACCAAGCCTGTGGTCTTTCTTATGAATAACACTGAGATCTGCTAAATTAACTTGCTGCACTCTCTGTTAGTGCAGCTGGCATCAGAACTCCAAGAACAGCAACCCGAGCAGCATTTACACGGCTGCAGCATCAGGGACACTTCTCAGCACTAACAACATCTCCACAATAAACCACATTCTTATTACTGTTTACACTGCTAGCCTTTTCAAAACACTATTACGACACTAATCTCAACAGTGAATGTGCTTAGTTACAGTTGGACAGGCAATGTGATGGAGGCGTTGTGTGTCTTGTGAGTTGTGGATAGGGACCCAAGAGTGTGGTAGTTAAGTGATGTGTAGTATTGTAGATGGTGGGGAAAGGAAGATGAACTTCAGTGATTGGTTGCTGAGTTTGTTTGTAAATATGTATTGTCTGTTTTGGTGGATGTTGCACTTCAGCAGTCTTGACTGTTGTTGACTTTTGGGGAGGGACAGCTAATGAGATGGTGAAACTTTTTTTGCCATGGATTATTTAAATTGTAAAATTTTAAAGTGATTGTATCTTTAAATTATGAGGCAGATTAAATTCCATTTAGCGTATAAATAATATAACATGATAGACCATACTGTGTTGGCATTCTGTCTACATTCCATACACACACTAGCTGCAGACTTGGATAAACCTGTGATTAAGGTGGGGTTTTGTTTCTGTTTGCATATTAGAAAGTTATAGTTACAGTGCAGCATAGAATCTTCAAAGAAAGAGCTCTGTTATATATATTCAGTGGTGTTCAGTAGTTCAGCATTCAAATCATGATTTTGTAGGAAAGGATGCCCTCTGTAGGACATGAAAGAAAAAACTTTTTAGGACACATTACAATATTAACAGTGCTAGAAATGACTCAGCCCCAAAATCGCTTTCTTTTTTTTTTAAAGAAAAAGACCCTTTTTCTTGTCAGATGGTAGATCAATATTTAGTCATGTGTTTTGATGACCCAGTATTATTCTTCCTACAGGACACGAGGCAGAAGTTTCCTTTGCTTATCTCCAAGAAGTAGTTCAAGTAGAAATTAAAGATCACATAGAATTCTTTAATACTAATAACAGGACAGATATAACCCCAGTGTTTAGCCATACACCTGGTTCCTTCAAGCAAGTTCTGTTACCCAGGGGTGTAAGTAGAGATGGATGGAAAACAGTTCTCATTCTCTAATGAACATTCACAACTTCACCAAAAGAAAAGGGGGACTTGTGGCACCTTAGAAACTAACAGATTTATTTGAGCGTAAGCTTTCGTGAGCTACAGCTCACTTCATCGGATGCATTCAGTGGAAAATACAGTGGGGAGATTTATATACATAGAGAACATGAAACAATGGGTGTTACCATACACACTGTAACCAGAGTGATCACTTAAGGTGAGCTATTACCAGCAGGAGAGCGGGGGGGGGGGGGGGTGTGGGGTGGGGGCGGGGAACCTTTTGTAGTGATAATCAAGGTGGGGCATTTCCAGCAGTTGACAAGAACATCTGAGGAATAGTTGGCGGGGCGGGGGGATAAACATGGGGAAATAGTTTTACTTTGTGTAATGACCCATCCACTCCCAGTCTTTATTCAAGCCTAAGTTAATTGTATCCAGTTTGCAAATTAATTCCAATTCAGCAGTCTCTCATTGGAGTCTGTTTTTGAAGTTTTTTTTTGTTGAAGTATTGCCACTTTTAGGTCTGTAATTGAGTGACCAGAGAGATTGAAGTGTTCTCCGACTGGTTTTTGAATGTTATAATTCTTGACGTCTGATTTCTGTCCATTTATTCTTTTACATAGAGACTGTCCAGTTTGGCCAATGTACATGGTAGAGGGGCATTCCTGGCACATGATGGCATATATCACATTGGTAGACGTGCAGGTGAACGAGCCTCTGATATTGTGGCTGATGTGATTAGGCCCTATGATGGCGTCCCCTGAATAGATATGTGGACGCAGTTGGCAACGGGCTTTGTTGCAAGGATAGGTTCCTGGGTTAGTGGTTCTGTTGTGTGGTGTGTGATTGCTGGTGAGTATTTGCGTCAGGTTGTTGGGCTGTCTGTAAGCAAGGACTGGCCTGTCTCCCAAGATCTGTGAGAGTGATGGGTCGTCCTTCAGGATAGGTTGTAGATCCTTGATGATGCATTGTCAATCTCTCACATTTTCACAAACTGAAAATCCAAAAATCCTGGTCAAAACATGGTTTTCAACCATTTTTAATTTTTAAAAATTATAATACAATTAGATTAAATTTCAAAACAAAAAGTCACTTTGAAATGAAAAACTGGAATTTTTTTTTTATTTTTGACAATGTCAAGACAAATTTGTGTAGACTAACCCTTTCCCACAAACACTTTTGATTGAAAAATGGGGTTCACTGAAGTGTCAAGGAATTCCCACTCAGCTCTAGATGTGAATGAGAATTGAAAGCATAATGGTAGCTCGACTTGCTTGCAAAGCCACTACACTCTCTGTAAAGCTGACTATGTCGACACTTAAAATGCTACAGCAGTATAGCTGCAGCACTGCACCTGCACCACTGTAGCACTTCAGTGTAGAGCAGAAACTCACTCCATGGATGGGAAGGGTTCTTCTATCACTAGTACGTAATCCACCTCCCCAAAAGGCAATACCTAGGTAGACCGAGGAATCCATTGACCTAGCACTATGTACATGAGGATTTAGGTCAATTTAAGTCCATCACTCAGGGGTGTGGATTTTTCACATGCCTGAGGGATGTAGTTGGGTCAAACTAATTTTCTAGTGTAGACTAATAGAGTACTCTCCAGTACTCACCCACAAAAAAGGTGATGCATGGCAGAGACAGATGTCAGATGCAAGAAGAATTTTAATACCCAGCTCAATAAAAAGGAAGAGAGATTGACAGAAGCAAGGGGATGATGTAGGAAGAAACACATTCTAGAAATCCAAAGACAGAGGGGAAAGACTGAGAAATAGAAATCTGAATTGCTTAATTTTAGGGGAGACTGTTAGAGATAGGTTACCATACAGTTAATAGTGGTCCTATAAAATGCTTGTTTATATTAAAATAACTGTCTCAAAAAATTTAGCTGTGCACATAGTTAGCCTATGTAAACACATTACTGATTCCTTTGTTCTCCCTCCTCCAGTCCTTCTGATTTTTGACACCTACTTGTTGTATTTTGTTTGTTGTTGATTGTAAGATACTTCAAGCAAAATCATGAATGACCCCTGGAGAATATCTATCTAGAAATCACTTATTTCCACTTACATGATTAATAATATCCATTCTTCAAGAAAATGACATCTTCCTCCCCACCCCCCCAAATCCTTAATTTGTAGACATAACACAAAGGCTACCTCTGATTCACCACAATTGCTTCAGTTTTACACCTCCTAATTTTATTGACTTCGTCCAGATTCCTTCTAATTTGCACTGGTGTAAATGAGAAAAGAATAAAGTCTACAGTCTTTACAACCACAGAATATTACTAAGTAATGCAAATGATAAACCCCTGAACATATATAGTCCTACTGTGGGCAGAGATTGCCTACGTCTGATATGTGAAAGATGTCTCAAACAACACATGTTGGAAACACTTTGTATAGCTTGTCACACCAATAAAGTTTCATTAAATTGAAAGTCACATTTACCATACAACCTTCTGTAGATAACTGAAAAAAAATATCCTGGTAATTCTATCATGTTTCTATTAACAGGCCCTCAGTCTACCCTCACTTTCCTCATTTGCTTTTCTGTACATTTTAAACGGCTGGAGCAGTACTTTGGGGGATTCTTCCCTGGGAAAAAGTCTCCCTTCCCACAGACATGTAGTCACTGGTGAATGGCTAGGGAAGGGTGAGATCCTAGAGGAGGCCTATTCTTGGCTGAATGTTTTTCCACATATCTGGCTCTACTCCAGCTCCAGCAATGGGTTCCTCTGGACAAACCATGACGAAGGGAACAGACTTATCTATCTGTTCCAAATGGGCTTCTCACCTTATCTATCGCAGGCAGTCAGATGATACACAGAAAACAACATTCTTTACAGTGCTCTAAGTGTTCATAGTACTCTAAGCCCTGGTGTACACTAGGAGTTGAGGTCGAATTTAGCAGCGTTAAATCGATTTAACCCTGCACCCGTCCACACGACAAAGCCCTTTTTTTCGACTTAAAGGGCTCTTAAAATCAATTTCCTTACTCTACCCCCAACAAGGGGATTAGTGCTGAAATTGGCCTTGCTGGGTCGAATTTGGGGTACTGTGGATGCAATTAGATGGTATTGGCCTCCGGGAGCTATCCCAGAGTGCTCCATTGTGACCGCTCTGGACAGGACTCTCAACTCAGATGCACTGGCCAGGTAGACAGGAAAAGGCCTGCGAACTTTTGAATTTCAATTTCCTGTTTGGCCAGCATGGCAAGCTGCAGGTGACTATGCAGAGCTCATCAGCAGAGGTGACCATGATGGAGTCCCAGAATCGCAAAAGAGCTCCAGCATGGACCGAACAGGAGGTACGGGATCTGATCGCTGTATGGGGAGAGGAATCCGTGCTATCAGAACTCCGTTCCAGTTTTCGAAATGCCAAAACATTTGTCAAAATCTCCCAGGGCATGAAGTACAGAGGCCATAACAGGGACCCAAAGCAGTGCCGTGTGAAACTTAAGGAGCTGAGGCAAGCCTACCAGAAAACCAGAGAGGCGAACAGCCACTCTGGGTCAGAGCCCAAAATATGCCGCTTCTATGATGAGCTGCATGCCATTTCAGGGAGTTCAGCCACCACTACTCCAGCCGTGTTGTTTGACTCCTTCAGTGGAGATGGAGGCAACACGGAAGCAGGTTTTGGGGATGAGGAAGATAGCTCACAGCAAGCAAGCAGAGAAACCATTTTTCCCAACAGCCAGGAACTGTTTCTCAACCTGCACCTGGAGCCAGTACCCCCTGAACCCACCCAAGGCTGCCTCCCGGACCCGCGAGGCAGAGAAGGGACCTCTGGTGAGTGTACCTTTTAAAATACTATACATGGTTTAAAAGCAAGCATGTTTAATGATTAATTTGCCCTAGCATTCGTGGCTCTCCTAGATATAGTCCCAAAGACTTTGCAAAAGGTTTCTGGGGAGGGCAGCCTTATTCCATCCACCATGGTAGGACACTTTACCACTCCAGGCCAGTAGCACGTACTCGGGAATCATTGTAGAACAAAGCATTGCAGTGTATATTTGCTGGCATTCAAACAACATCCGTTCTTTATCTCTCCATTATCCTCGGGAGAGTGATATCATTCATGGTCACCTGGTTGAAATAGGGTGCTTTTCTTAAGGGGACATTCAGAGGTGCCTGTTCCTGCTGGGCTGTTTGCCTGTGGCTGAACAGAAATGTTCCCCGCTGTTAGCCACGGGGAGGGTGGAGGGACAAACCAATATGCTCCAGCGTATGGTTGAGCTGCAGGAAAGGCAGCAGGAGCACAGACTGCTGCTACAGTCCCTGTGTAACCAACCGCCCTCCTCCCCAAGTTCCATAGTCTCCTCACCCAGATGCCCAAGAACATGGTGGGAGGGCCTCCAGCCACTCCACCACAGAGGATTGGCCAAGCAACAGAAAGCTGGCATTCAATAACTTTTAAACTTTTAAAGTGCTATGTGGCCTTGTCCTTCCCTCTTCCACCACCCCTCCTGGTGCTTCTCTCCTCCTCCACCCCTCCTGGGCTACCTTGATAGTTATCCCCCTATTTGTGTGATGAATTAATAAAGAATGCATGAATGTGAAGCAACAATGTCTTTATTGCCTCTGCAAGCGGTGATCGAAGGGGGGAGGGGAGTGGAGGGTGGTTAGCTTACAGGGAAGTAGAGTGAACCAAGGGGCAGGGGGTTTCATCAAAGAGAAACAAACAGAACTTTCACACCGTAGCCTGGCCAGTCATAAAACTGGTTTTCAAAGCTTCTCTGATGCGCACCACGCCGTCCTGTGCTCTCCTAACCGCCCCGGTGTCTGGCTGTGCGTAACCAGCAGCCAGGCGATTTGCCTCAACCTCCTACCCCACCATAAACGTCTCCCCCTTACTCTCACAGATATTGTGGAGTGCACAGCAAGCAGTAATAACAGTGGCAATATTGGTTTCGCTGAGGTCTAACCGAGTCAGTAAACTGTGCCAGCGTGCCTTTAAACGTCCAAATGCACACTCTACCACCATTCTGCACTTGCTCAGTCTGTAGTTGAACAGCTCCTGACTACTGTCCAGGCTGCCTGTGTATGGTTTCATGATCCAGGGCATTAAGGGGTAGGCTGGGTCCCCACGGATACATATAGGCATTTCAACATCACCAACGGTTATTTTCTGGTCTGGGAATAAAGTCCCTTCCTGCAGCTTTTGAAACAGACCAGAGTTCCTGAAGATTCGAGCATCATGTACCTTTCCCAGCCATCCCACGTTGATGTTGGTGAAACATCCCTTGTGATCCAACAGTGCTTGCAGCACTATTGAAAAGTACCCCTTGCGGTTTATGTACTTGCCGGCTTGGTGCTCCGGTGCCAAGATAGGGATATGGGTTCCGTCTATGGCCCCACCACAGTTAGGGAATCATAGAATATCAGGGTTGGAAGGGACCCCAGAAGGTCATCTAGTCCAACCCCCTGCTTGAAGCAGGACCAATTCCCAGTTAAATCATCCCAGCCAGGGCTTTGTCAAGCCTGACCTTAAAAACCTCTAAGGAAGGAGATTCTACCACCTCCCTAGGTAACGCATTCCAGTGTTTCACCACCCTCTTAGTGAAAAAGTTTTTCCTAATATCCAATCTAAACCTCCCCCACTGCAACTTGAGACCATTACTCCTCGTTCTGTCATCTGCTACCATTGAGAACAGTCTAGAGCCATCCTCTTTGGAACCCCCTTTCAGGTAGTTGAAAGCAGCTATCAAATCCCCCCTCATTCTTCTCTTCTGCAGGCTAAACAATCCCAGCTCCCTCAGCCTCTCCTCATAACTCATGTGTTCTAGACCCCTAATCTCTTTTGTTGCCCTTCGCTGGACTCTCTCCAATTTATCCACATCCTTCTTGTAGTGTGGGGCCCAAAACTGGACACAGTACTCCAGATGAGGCCTCAACAATGTCGAATAGAGGGGAACGATCACATCCCTCGATCTGCTCGCTATGCCCCTACTTATACATCCCAAAATGCCATTGGCCTTCTTGGCAACAAGGGCACACTGCTGACTCATATCCAGCTTCTCGTCCACTGTCACCCCTAGGTCCTTTTCCGCAGAACTGCTGCCTAGCCATTCGGTCCCTAGTCTGTAGTTGTGCATTGGGTTCTTCCGTCCTAAGTGCAGGACCCTGCACTTATCCTTATTGAACCTCATCAGATTCCTTTTGGCCCAATCCTCCAATTTGTCTAGGTCCTTCTGTACCCTATCCCTCCCCTCCAGCGTATCTACCACTCCTCCCAGTTTAGTATCATCCGCAAATTTGCTGAGAGTGCAATCCACACCATCCTCCAGATCATTTATGAAGATATTGAACAAAACCGGCCCCAGGACCGACCCCTGGGGCACTCCACTTGATACCGGCTGCCAACTAGACATGGAGCCATTGATCACTACCCGTTGAGCCCGACAAGCTAGACAGCTTTCTACCCACCTTATAGTGCATTCATCCAGCCCATGCTTCCTTAACTTGCTGACAAGAATACTGTGGGAGACCGTGTCAAAAGCTTTGCTAAAGTCAAGAAACAATACATCCACTGCTTTCCCTTCATCCACAGAACCAGTAATCTCATCATAAAAGGCGATTAGATTAGTCAGGCATGACCTTCCCTTGGTGAATCCATGCTGGCTGTTCCTGATCACTTTCCTCTCATGCAAGTGCTTCAGGATTGATTCTTTGAGGACCTGCTCCATGATTTTTCCAGGGACTGAGGTGAGGCTGACTGGCCTGTAGTTCCCAGGATCCTCCTTCCCTTTTTTAAAGATTGGCACTACATTAGCCTTTTTCCAGTCATCCGGGACTTCCCCGGTTCGCCACGAGTTTTCAAAGATAATGGCCAATGGCTCTGCAATCACAGCCGCCAATTCCTTCAGCACTCTCGGATGCAACTCGTCCGGCCCCATGGACTTGTGCACGTCCAGCTTTTCTAAATCGTCCCATTGCAGCAAAGCCATCCACTGTGACCTGCACGTTTTCCAGGGCCACTACCCTTGATATCAGCAGATCTTTGATTGCGTTGGCTACTTGCATCAAAGCAGCCCCCACAGTAGATTTGCCCACTCCAAATTGATTCCCGACTGACTGGTAGCTGTCTGGCGTTGCAAGCTTCCTCAGGACTATTGCCACTTGCTTCTCAACTGTGAGGGCTGCTCTCATCTTGGTATTCTTGCACCTCAGGGCAAGGGAAAGCAAGTCACAAAGTTCCATGAAAGTGCCCTTACGCATGCAAAAGTTTCGCAGCCACTGGGAATCGTCCCAGACCTGCAACACTATGCGGTCCCACCAGTCTGTGCTTCTTTCCCAGGCCCAGAATCGGTGTTCCACCGCATGAGCCTGCCCCATTAGCACCATGATGCCCACATTGCCAGGGCCCGTGCTTTGAGAGAAGTCTGTGTCCATGTCCTCATCACTCTCGTCACCGCGCTGACATCGCCTACTTGCCAAGTTTCGCTTTGCCAGGTTCTGGTGCTGGATATACTGCTGGATAATGTGTGTGGTGTTTAATGTGCTCCTAATTGCCAAAGTGATCTGAGCGGTCTCCATGCTTGCCGTGGTATGGCGTCCGCACAGAAAAAAAGGTGAGGAACGATTGTCTGCCGTTGCCCTGATGGAGGGAGGGGTGACTGACGACATGGCTTACAGGGTTGACTTACAGGGAATTAAAATCAACAAAGGGGATTGCTTTGTTAGAAACTGAATGGCCCCCTCAAGGATAGAACTCAAAACCTCAAGGATAGAACTCAAAACTGGGTTTAGCACGCCGTTGATTTCACAGAAGGAGGGAGGGAGGAGAAAATGAATACAAAACAAATCTGGTCTATTTCTTTGAGCCACTTCATCTATTTTTATACATCTTGCTGGCAGCGGACTGTGCAGTACGACTGCTAGCCATCGTCATCTCCTGGGTGCTCGGCAGAAGACGGTGCAGTATGACTACTGGCCATCGTCTTCTGCTGGCTGCAGATTACAATGCTGTGCACTGCCGGTAGGACTCAATCGCCATGAGAGGAAACTTAAAAGTGAAATGACCTGGCTGAGTCACACCCATGTTTGCCCAGACACCTGGTTAAAAGAGCACCCAGGACTACGTCAAAGATGGCTATACTGCACTGTCTGCTGCCAAAAGGCAATAAACTGCTGCTGTGTAGCAATGCAGTGCCACGTCTGCCAGCATCCAGGAGACATACGGTGACGGTTCACTGAGCGGGCTCCATGCTTGTCGTGGTATGGCGTCTGCACAGGTAACTCAAGAAAAAAGGTGCAAAACGATTGTCTGCCCTTGCTTTCACGGAGGGAGGGAACAGGGGCCTGACGATATGTACCCAGAACCACCCGCGTTTTAGCCGCATCAGGCACTGGGATTTCTACCCAGAATTCAAATGGGCGGCAGAGACTGCGGGAACCGTGGGATAGCTACCCACAGTGCAATGCTATGGAAGTCGACAGTTGCCTCGGTACTGTGGACACATTCTGCCGACTACATGCACTTAGAGCATTTGTGTGGGGACACACACAATCGACTGTATAGAAACGCTTTCTACAAAACCAACTTCTATAAATTCGACCTAATTTCGTAGTGTAGACATACCCTAAAGATAAATGAGAGACAGTGGATCAGATCTGAACTTTGCACTGTACTGTTACCAGAACCTGACAGCAATGGCAGTTTAACCGGCCACGGGAAGGTTACCCTTATGTTGGGGGGATCCTGTGGTAGTAGTGAACAACCAGTGCAGAAGCTTCTGTGGCAGCCTAACCCTGATCTCCACTCTCCAGGCTCCATTGTAATCTATGGGCATTCCTGTGTCTCTTGTAGTCTAGGGGCATTCAGGTGCTCTCACCCGCAATCAAAGAGGACAGGGAGCATAGGATGGAGTACTGCTTACTCAAGCCAGAAAGAATAGGGGGCGTTCCTCCGGTCATTTTAGGAGATTGAGAGAAAAAACAGAGGAAAAAGAAATGGAAACTGCCTGCCTAGCTCCTATACTTTACACCCAAACAGCAGGGGTAGTGGGCACAGAAGAAGAACTAGCGAGCCAGGAACCTGAATGATATACTGAATAATCAGCCACACAAACCTTAATAGCCTGCACATGACTGGAATAGTACCAAACATATGCACCCAGCCCAGAAAAGAACTTTATTAGGGAATGTGGGTCACCTACTGTTGTTCTCTTCCCATTAGAGAACGTGGGCATTCCCTTTTTGCTACCATTAAAGTCAATGGGTATGCCCCCTCAGCCTATCTCTAGTCTACAGGCATTCTTGTTAATGTTCCTTTACTTTGACCCCTGGTTTCTTCCTTTTTTTAATGACATGCGACAAAAGGCAGACATTGCATTGTTCTCTTTGGGAATTATGTTTTTGCCTCACACCAGGAAAGACCAGCAGTGTTAGCTGATAAGTGCTGCTATTTATATCCTCACACAGCACCCCTGGTGCTAGGATTGCAGCACTATTTCAGGATGCATGGAATTGTTAAAAATAGAATTCCATGGCAACACGTCTCCTTAGAGGAGCCACATCCTAACCAATTTGCATTTGCTATTGGTAATGTAGTGTTCAGAACACTACGAATTTTCATTTGAAGTCTTCTTTCCAAGTATTAAAATGTACTAGTTGCCCTGAGCCAGTGGCCTAGGGACAGTACTCTCTATTGCTATGTGGGGAAAACAAAGATTTCCATGCCAATGTCTTGTGCCCTGCCTGGCTTACTGAAATCAATGTGTTTATATTGCCTATTGTTGGGGAATTTATAAGGCTCCTGTCTCCTTACTATTATTTGAACATGTCCCTGGGGGGAAGAGTACTCACTCAACACGCGCCTCCATCCAATTAAGAGAATTATAATGGTTGCATAAAATTACAGCGTGGTTGCTTCTAGGTCCCTAACTGAAATATTACTACTGTGATGCTGGCAGACCCAGTGCTAGCTCATGCCAAGGCCCTAGGCTTCACTGAACACTGACAAATGCATAGCTGGAAACCTGTCTGGCTTGCTTACCTGTGTGTTCGTATAGTTAAAATAGATATTCGAGTTATAAGAATGTGTTTAGACTTTATGGAATGATTGTAGGATGCTGCATGTATTAATCCTACTTATAATATCTGTATCCCATGTTATAAGGTAATGTTTAAATGTTTGCTCTGTAACTATAAAAAATGTTTGCTAAGACTTTAAATCCCCCACAGTCGGGGGAGAAGCATTATAAAGTGTGAAATACCAGTTTACCATAAGGTGTTATCTCCTCCCCAACAAAAGTAGGTCTACAGACATCAGACAAGCTATTGTGGTCTAAAGACTATTTGATTGCTTCCCCACAGCTCTGAAGAGAGTATGTGCACAAACCCTTGTCCAATCACAAGCTTGGACGCTGGGGAAAGGGAATAAAAATTCCTGTTAAAGAGAAATTGTTACCCCTATACTGCTTGAGCTTTGAGGGGCAAAGATTTCTAAGCATAAGCAAGGAGTCCCCAGCTGTTTAGCTTGGGTTGGCCCTAAATGACATATAAAGCTTGCATATTACAGCATCTACAATCATCCTCTGGAACCTGCGACTGTATCTCTGTTGTGTGTTTGTTTACTTGCTTTAACCTTGCAAATAACACATTTCTTTTCTAAGTTAATTCTTTTGTTTTAATATAGGATTCCTACAAGCATTATCTTTGAGAGATGTGTGGTGCATTTGACCTGGGGTAAGTGACTGACTGGTCCTTTGGGACTGGGAGTAACCTGAATATTGTTGTGATTTTTGGTGTAAGGGACCATCTGTCCCAGAGGCAGGCTTACCTGGGCTGCAAGATAGACCAGAGTGCCCAAGAGGACTGTTTGTGACTCCATGGTAAGGCTGTTATAGTATTTGTGGAGTTCTCAATTGATGCTTGGTTGGCGAAATCTAATTATAGAACACACAACGGGTTTGTTTCTTAACAGTCGGCCCTGAGGTTGGCACTCATGGTCGTGAGTCCCTCTAGACAGTTTGACAAGTGTGAAGCTAATAAAATAGTGTGGGTGTGTGTCTTCTCTAAAAACAGATAAGTAGGTGGTGTTCCCTGAAGGCAGAACGCAAGAATGCTATAGATTGTACCTGTGATGATCCCCCAAGAAGTCTGTTTTCGGAAGCATCCTACAATAGACTTTACTCTGTGCATTACCATGGAGCTTTTCACAGAAATGCAGACTTTTCACCCAACATGCTTGTGCTCCTCTTCTGTAGGAGGAAGAGGACTAAGTATATGATGGGGTGTAAGCACCTCCTGCCTTCAAAGGAAGGAAGGGCTAATAAACTTCCCTGGAAGGGAGGAAAAATACTTAACGTAAATTGCAAGATTGTACAAATTGTTAGTGGGAAGGGCAGACAGCTAACCTTGGAAGAAAATATGCCTTTCAAGGCAAGGAATGGCCCTTACTCCCAGGGAATGAGACACTACCTGGCACCAAGGCTGAAGAGACCCTGCCTGTAGGGCTCAGCACTGAATCAGAATCAAGTTGGCACAAAAATATGGTACTTTTGCCTATTTGTAGTTGTGCAATCCCTTTTGTCCAGCCATCTCTTCCTAGACCCAGAGATCCCTTCCCTCCAGCTGTCCTGCTGCCAACCACCTGTGTTAAAACAAAACAGAAAATACAAGGTAAAAGATTAGATTTAAATCAAAATAATACTTTAAAACTATAAATTAAATGAAAGAGTACACCACAGCCACCTCACAATAAATTTTGATTTATAGGGGGAAACCCCTCCTCCCCTGGGAAATAATAAGTGCAAACACCTACACCTGGGCTGTATGTTTCCTTGCTACTTGGAAAACCAAATATCATTGTCCCAATTTATTTCCCTGCCATTAACAACAAACAAAACAACACACCCCCCCCGCCTCTGACACAACCAAATCCAAAGTGACAGGTTTCAGAGTAGTAGCCATGTTAGTCTGTATCCGCAAAAAGAAAAGGAGGACTTGTAGCACCTTAGAAACTAACAAATTTATTTGAGCATAAGCTTCTGTGAGCTACAGCTCACTTCATTGGATGCATGCAGTGGAAAATACAGTGGGGAGATTTATATACACAGAGAACATGAAAGTTCTGAAATTTTCACTATCCTGCTACTTTCCATTTGATGACCTCAAAGTACTTAAAGAGCCATCAATGGAATGCCAGGACACCCCTCCACCCCCAAGAGGGAGCTTTATTGCACAGTGCCTAGCACAATCGGCCTCCAATCTTGGTTGCAGCCTTTAGGGGCTGCCTTCCTACAAATAATAAATATCCAACATGGTATGTTGATGGGAAGTGGTGTGCGGGCAGGGGCACAGTGGAAGGTTGCTTTAGATTTGGGGGTGGGGGAAGAGGATAGATCTCTCAGAGATAAAATTGTCTCCTGCCCCACAAACCCAAAATTAACTCAATAGGGCTTATGTTTTGCTTTAATTTGCTGCATGCTTTTAAAAAAGTAAAGTTAGTCATCTGTAGCCTAAATCTGTGACATCTCCAACTGACAGAAGCTCATAAAAATGAGGTCCTCAGCTGGGAACTATGTCTTCAGTTCCACACAGTCAATGTGTTTACTCTTGGCTACTCACAATCCTCCTTAACTGTTATGATGACATATAGGTGGCTCAGAAGCTGGCCAGAAGTAAGGTACAAGGTACCAGGCTTAAGTGGGCACATTGGCTAACACTATGTATATCTTTTTCTTTTATGAGAAAGTGTTCCTTTGGATCAATTGTGAGGCACTTAACATCATTGGTTCTCTAGACTTGGATTCTTAACTGTGAAAGAAAGGAAATGTAGAGGCCATAGGCATTTCTTGCAAACCAGTTCCTATTACTTGGGGAGTTAACCTGTAAACGTCTACCCTTAGACAATGCATATAATCATTCCAATGTCAGGTAATAGGAAAAAGCCAAACTGCGCTAGGAAGGATTGAATCAGACAAAGTTCCAAGCACAAGTTGTACATATATCCAAAATACTACTAATTACTGGTTATCAGACAGACTTCTTATTAGTCATCCAATGGGTATGCTATCCTTCTTACATACAAAGACCAATCAAAAAACATTGTCAGCAAAATAAGATTTGCTTGTCTGGGCAATAAAGTGAATATGCATAAAGGAAAGAAGATAATCCACTTCCTAGCCACACTCAGCTCTCTACAATAATATAACAGGCTGTGACCATTATGATTCAAAGTGTGAAAACGATTGTCAGCAGATTCCTATATACTATAAACAAGGATCGTGTTAATTTTCCTGCCAACACTTCCACAGCTGATAGACTACAGGATTAGGGCAGGAGTGTATTGGATCAGATGGCCTTTTTCTGCTCCTAAAATAAATTCATGCTCCTATTTAAACCTACTTGTCATACAATGCTCAGCTGAATCAGTAGGGTGACCAGGTGTCCAGTTTTTGAACCCAGTCAACAAGCGCTGACCAGGCCGTTGACTGTCCAGTTGGCGGCACTGTGGCAGCAGGGCTCCTGGGAAACAGCAGAATGTCCACCCTCCGGGCCCTATGCGTAGGGGCAACCCGGGGCCTCTGCATGCTGCCACCGCCCCAAGCGCCACCCCTGCAGCTCCCATTGGCTGGGAACTGCAGCCAATGGGAGCTACGGGGGTGGTGCCTGTGGATGGGGCAATGCGCAGAGCTGCCTGGCCGCACCTTCGCATAGGAACCAGAGGGGGACATGCCGCTGCTTCGGGGAGATGCTTGAGGTAAGCGCCGCCTGCACCCTGACCCCTTTCTGGGCCCCGGGCCCCAACCCTGAACCCCTCCCGCCCTCTGAACCCCTTGATCCCGGCCTGGAGCACTCTCCTGCACCCCAAACCCCTCATCCCTAGCCCCACTCTAGAGCCCACACCTCCAGCCAGAGTCCTCACTCCCCCCCTGAACCGCAGCCCCCTGCCCCATCCCTGATCCCCTCCCGCCCTCCAAACCCCTCAGTCCCAGCCCAGAGCATCCTCCTGCACCCCATATCCCTCATCCATGGCCCCACCCCAGAGCATGCACCCCCAGCCAGACCCCCCTGCACCCAACCCCGAGCCCAAGCCTGAAGCCCTCTCCCGCACTCTGAGCCCCTCATTTCTGGCCCTACTCAGAGCCCACACGCCCAGCCAGAGCCCTCACACACACACACCCTGCACCGCAACCCCTTGCCCCACCCTAGAGCCCCCCTCCTGCAGCCCAAACCCCTCATCCCCACCCTCACCCCAGAGCCCGCACCCCCAACTGGAGCCCTCCTGCCCTCCCGCACCCCAACCCCCAGCATGGTGAAAGCGAGTGAGGGTGGGGGAGAGCGAGCGATGGAGGGTGGGGTGGGCAGGGCCTCATAGAAGGGGTGGAGCATGGGTGGGTCTTCAGGGGAAGGGGTGGGGCATGGGGCTGGGCAAGGGTGTTCAGTTTTGTGCTATTAGAAAGTTGGCAACCCTATGAATCAGCTTTGATATCTGGCTTAATTTATATATAGACTTGGAGAAGACCCAAACTGTGTTTTGTGGTTGAAAGGTGGTGTAGCCAAAGCCAAGTAATCTACATTCTGTAGGAGCAGGGCAGAGCCATTATTAACTCTTTACTGAGGATTTGGCCCTGTTGAGGCATCTCAGCCCAAATGGCTTACCATGATTTTGTGAATGCACAGAACCCTTATTTGTGTAAGATGGGTTTTTTTCTCCTTCGCCAGTCTGAATAGTAAGACATTTTGTGTTATCAGCATCTAAGCTTGGGCCTGTGCTCATCCATTTGAAGACATTCTCTCAGCCACTGCAGTGACAAACTGTGCTTCAATCCTGAAGGTCATTATATGGTAGATAAAGAGATGCCCATAAAATCATGCTCTGACTCTTCTGAAGTCTAAATAGTTTGAGTGAAGAGACCTTCAGTGGCTGCTTCTTACCTTTCCTCGTGTGACCTTTGTAGTTGGGACAGGATTAGATTCTATAAACATCAGGTGAAAGCACTGAGAGCTTTTTATTTTTTAATATACTATCACCAAAAGAAAATATTTGGAAATGCATAACCCCCTGTCAACATAACATCACTATTAATCTCATGGAGTATTTCTAAATGTTTTCTTTAGGCATCTGAATGAAGGTCATGTTAATCAGTCCTTACAAAAAACTGCATAGCATTTAGATACTTTCAGTGAACTGATATATTAAGTATTTCCTAGTTTGCAGTGGCTGTTTTACCAGAGAAAGGCTCAACTATTTCTTCTATCCTATTTTTGTACTGGAGTAAATGGCAATTAAGTATATGATTCTTACAGTTATAGCTTCATATAAGAAACTGATTTGCGCATCTGCACCGGGACAGCAAGAACCCTGGTGCTTCCATTTCTTGAGCTCAAAAGAGTCAGAGCAGTGGGCTGTGGCCTTACTGCACCCCATTCCACAGAAGGCAAACGATATGCTGGAATCAGGGCTGCAACTCCATTAACTTCAACAGAGTTGTTATACCAGAGCTGAGTTTGGCCCCAAAGGATGACAGTCCTTGTAACACTTTAACTTGCTAATGTAACTGCAAGATATTTTTCATATTCATGTAATTATCTAATCTTTTTTTAAAAATTTTTTTGCTGAAGTGTTTGCTTCTCATCCTGTGGCAGGGTAGGTTATACAGCAGAGCAAACAGGACAGTAAATAAGATTGTGTGCCCCACATCGGAGTATAGAAGATAAATAACAGTACATAAACAACTGTTCAAGAACACATCCTGACTGATTATTTTAAAGAAGCTCACTGTATTCTAATAGCTGAATTATTAACTATTTTAAGAGGAACTTATATCAAAGTTAGTTTTGTTTTTTAAAGCTGTCACTTAATTTATGCAAACTTGCCAGCAGTCCTAGCTTGGCCAGGACAGGCCCGGATTTGTGACACCAATTCCAGGAAATTGGCATCAATTCCTGTGTCCCAGGTATGTTCAGAGACCTCCTGTTCCTCAAGAAAACTAACCGCTCAAGCCACTTGCTCCTTGGTAGCCATCCCTTCCAGTGAAGCACTTAGCAGCTCTCTTGCAGGGCTTTTGTTGCTAGTTTTCCTGTAAGAGGCTTCTATATAAAGAGGTTTATATAAAAGGTTTAGAAACTATGACCTATGAAGAAAGTCTTTTTTTTTTTTTTAAAGCCTGAAAGGGGACCTGATAACACTCTTTAAATACGTGAAGAGCTGTTATAAAAAGAATGGTGATCAGCTGTTGTCCTACCTTCAGTGGACATGGAGAAGAACTAGTGGGCTTAATCTGCAGCAAGAGAGAGATAGTTTAGATATTAGAACTATAAGGATAGTTAAGTACTAAAGTAGACTACAAAGGAAAGTTTGGAATCCCTGTCATTGGAGGTTTTTAAGAACAGATTAGGCAAACACCTGTCAGAGATGGTCTAGATTTATCTGCAGCAGGCTGGACTGGATGACCACTCAAGATCACATCTAGTCCTATAAGGAAAAGGCTTTTGTCTGCAGCCATATTAAAAGAGCAGCAGCCATTAGCTAAAAAAGCAGGAAGTCACAACCTCACATTCCATTTAAATTACATTAAAACAATGTAATATCAGGCTGTTTAGGAGATCCTGTCCTAATAATATCACCCACTATCACCAGATAAAGAAACAGACCTTAAGATGGTTAAAGAAAAGTTAGTTTGATAGCATTCTTCTCTGGCAAGAAATCACTTATCAATAGTTGTGGTTGTGAAATCCTCATTTCTTTCTTGTTTTATCTTTATGGTCCCCACTTCCCTATTGTTTGTTTGTATGATCTCTCTCTGGTTCTTTGATTGTTTCTGTTTCATAATTAATTTTGCTAGGTGTAAATTAATTAAGGTGGTGGGGTATGATTGGTTAGAGAATTTTGTTACACTATGTTAGGATTGGTAAAATTTTAGTAAAATGAGTGGTTAAAGTATAGCTAAGCAGGACTCAAGTTTCACTATGTAAACAGGGGTCCAAAAGGAAGTTTTTTGGGAACCAACTCCAGAACACAGCCCCAAGAACAGAGCTGCCAGACCTCAACACTCTGCCAATGACACCGTGCAGAAACTGGAGTCCCGCAGATGGACCTGATCCTGACTGGCCAACAGGGAAAAGTTCATCTGTCTTATTGGGAGTGGTGAGCATTGTATGTGTAACGTGTACATTCTGTTTTGGTGGTTGTTAATAAATAGAGGTTACGTAGGATATTACTGTGTAAGGCTCTTTGCAGGATTGCGGGGTCTTTTACCAGTAAGAGAGTAAGGTTACGCCTGAGCCCACAGAAGGATAAGAATGGGTGCCTAGATTGACAGCCTGAGCCCGAGGAACAGGGTAAGGATGGGTCCCTAAATTAAGAGGGTTACGCCTTGAGCCCTAGGAACTGGGTAAAGGTGGGTGCCCCTAGAGTGTGTGAGTAACAGAGAATTTTGTGCGGGTAACAAGCCCTACATTTCTATGAAGTAGAGCTTCTACTCTGGCATCCAGCAGATCCCCTGCAGAGTCAGGATGAGATCCTCACTACTGTCTTTTCCCAATCCAGTGACACCCCCTTCTCTGCCTCCATCCCCATTACCAAACAAACACCTTTGCTCCTCTCCAGATCTGGATTCTCTGCAAAGTTGGCAGCTGTGTATATGCATAAGAATCCGGCTAAGATAATGCTGGCTATCCTCATTTCCAGAGAGCAACACTGTTGCCGGCACCCAGTGCCAGAGGCGAACAACAGCAAGGTTCGTTGCCCGATGTGCGTCACCCAATAATCACAACGGTGTGGAGAAGCAGAAAAGTTTATTTGAAGCTTCAAAGAAGGTACAGGGAGAGTAGAATCTCAATTCCTGCACACAGAGCAGCAAGTTACACAGGCTTTTATACATCCTTTCTTCAGCATACTTATCCAATAGCAAGCTGCCCTAAGTATCCATATAGCCAGCCAATCCAGTTACCAGCTAGTTCCCTTGTTCTCTGTACCATCTGTTAAACCATACATAAAGCTGTTTTAGTCAGCATTGTTCTTCCATATCTGCCCTGTTTGGCTTTGTTTAGTTTCAGGCAGTCTGACTCTACAACATATTGTTGCAGATCCTCAGCATTACTGCTGCGAGTGCCTCCAGGCGGTGGGGGCAAGGACACTTGGGCCTAGTGCGAGGGGGCTTCATTGACACTCGTGGTCTTCCATCCCCTCGAGTTACCTAATGGCCATGCCCAGTGTCCCCAACAACACTAAACCTACTTTCATTTGCCTCTTCAAAAGCAATAGCAACATTTATTTCCTACTCTAAAACAAGTGTGAATGTGTTTGACTTGGTGGAACAAAACAGTACAATTCATTTTTCAGTGTCCTCAGGCTGATCCCGGCTGGCAGTGTAGGCAGCTGCAGGCCATTTGTCACCCATCCCTCTGTAGCTGTATCATTCCTCTCATCAGAATGTTTCTTAAAATAATGTTGTTCCATATTTCTCAGATCATTTCCTTTTGCCTTCATGAAACAGGAAGCTGAAGAAATCTCTCCTCCTAGCTCTGTCAAGAACTTCCTGTTTGGCTCTCGATCAAAAAATCCAGCCACTCACTTGATTTTTTTTTTTTAAGTTTTTTCATTGCAATAAGAAAAGCAATTCAAGAACTACTGTAAGAGGCTGACTTGATATGAAGACCTAATTTTGGTAATTCTCCACAACAACTGTGCATGGAGAATACAAAATGAAGAACTGTAGAAAATCCCCAGCATTCATGATATTCAATTGTTGTTAATTTCAAGTGACACCAGCATAATAGATGTGTATGCTGTCAGAAAGGAACTATAATCAAATAACATGAAATGATGTGTCATGGGTATATTTATAGCCATCTCCATTGCATCTCTCATTCTATTTTTAGAAACATATTACTCTTTATAAGTGTTCCCTGGCTCCAAATGTTTGACTTCCCAGAGAACGTTTTTCCTTCTGCTCCATATATTTTCTCATTTGTATTACTATTCACTGCATTTATTATGATGTTCTTTAACTTAGTTTGCAGCTTTGAGACCAATTGGCGTAGCTTCTCCCTCAAAGAGTTTCATACACCACGTAGTGCTCATAAATAGACCTGGCAGAATTGGATTTTCAACTCTATATATCTGCCCTATATAGAGTTTAAAAATAGAATAGCCAGTGTCCTATCAACCATGCAAAAATAAGCTCTACAAACTATGCATGCATGAACACTGTCATTCCTTTGAAAAAGATTCACTGCAAATTACGAAATAGGACTCTCCTTTAAGTGTGTAGTCTTCAATTGCATACATACAAAATGGGAAATGACTGACTATGATGGAGTACTGTAGAAAGAATTCTGGCAGTTTTCGTGGATCACAAGCTAAATGAGTCAACAGTGTAATACTGTTGCAAAACAAGCAAACGTAATTCTGGATGTATTAGCAGGGGTGTTGTAAGCAAGATATGTGAAGTAATTCTTCCACTCTACTCCACGCTGATTAGGCTCAGCTGGAGTATTGTGTCCAGTTCTCGGCGCCACATTTCAGGAAAGATGTGCACAAATTAGAGAAAGGTCATAGGAGAGCAACAAAAATGATTAAAGTCTAGAAAACATGACCGATGAGGAAAGATTGAAAAACTTGGGTTTTACTCTGGAGAAGAGAAGACCCAGTGGGGACATAACTGTTTAAGTACATAAAAGGTTGTTACAAGGATGAGGGTGAAAAATTGTTCTCCTTAACCTTTGAGGATAGTACAAGAAGCAATAGGCTTGAATTAAAGCAAGGAAGGTTTAGGTTGGACATTAGGAAAAGCTTCCTAACTATCAGGGTAGTTAAGTACTGGAACAAATTGCCGAGGGAGGTTGTGGAATCTTCATCCTTGGAGGTTTTTAAGAGCAGATTAGACAAACACCTGTCAAGAATGGTCTAGTTATTTACTTAGTCCTGCCTTGACTTCAGGGGACTGGACTAGATAACCTATTGAGATCCCTTCCAGTCTTACACTTCTCTGATTCATGTTGTGTCTGATTGCTTGATGTGGATAAAAGTCCAAGCCCTTAAGGTAAAGTAATCAATCATGTTTAATCATGGCTGCAGCCAAGGACATTAGTTGCTAATGAGTTGGCCAGCTGGTACAGTCAAACCATATCAGACTTAGTTTCTAGAAATCACTTTCTAGACTGTGCCACACTACCAAACCATGTTAAAAACTCTTTTAGTGGGAAGAAGAAAAGGAGTACTTGTGGCACCTTAGAGACTAACAAATTTATTTGAGCATAAGCTTTTGTGAGCCACAGCTCACATCATTGGATGCATTCGATGCTTTTAGTGGGAACACTGTTTAAACTTATTTTTAAACTGTTCCCTTGCGCAATTAAAAGACCAATGTAATTGAGGCTTAAACCAGACATTATGCTACTTTGAATGAATGTGTCATTTCAGCTGCACAGATGCCATAAGATTACCACAGCATTCAATTTGATCAGAAACAACTTTATCACCATCTTTCTCAATGTCTGATTCAGACAAGTGAATTAATACAGCGAACCACATTTTTTTAACTTTTTCACTGTTGACATCCAATTCATATTCTGGAAATAGAAATGAATCAGAGGGGGTAACACAGAAATAGAGGGAGGACAGGGAAGTAATTGTACTTACAATGCTTGCTTAGTCGTTGTGGTCCAAATTTTTAAAAGATATTTAGGCATTGTTCCTCTCAACATTAATTTCAATGGGAGTTAAGCAGCCAGGTGCTCTTGAAAATCCCATTAGGTGTCTATCTAAATCTTTAGGTACCTAAATGCCTTTCAGATCTGGTCCTTATATGCTTAAGTCTCAGTGAAAGTCAATAGGACTTCAGATACTAAGTGCCTCCTATTTTTGATAATCCCCTCAAAGAAGGAAGTTCAGCCAGCTGATGTTTTTCAACAATTTTCTGTGAGGAGTTGGTAAAAAGGAAAGCCATAACAGCCGAACACTCAGCTCTTTGGTCCGACTCCTTGCCATTTGTGATGCTCCACCATCTCAAAATAATGAAAAAAGTAGGAGTTACAACAGTTAGGAGTTTTTAAAATATATCAGTAACATAAAAACTTAACTGAATGGTAAAAGATATATATGCTTCAAAGTATATGCCAGATTATAATTAACAGGTGGCAGGGAGAAACTTTTTCTCACTGTGTGCAGGTTATTTCATAACTGCCTATTTCAGCATTTCTTACACAAAATTATGTGTATCCCCCCACCATATTATTGCCTTTGTGACACAAACTTGCCCCAACCCCAACTCTGTCCCTGTGTAGTTCAAGTGGATCAATGCAAGGGCTTTTAGGTACCCCTTATCAGCTTGCATTGAATCATTCAGCACTGGCATAAACTGCAAGCAAGCAGGATTTGGCCAAACGTATGTGGTTTCTTATGAAGCTCTCATTCCACTTAGAATCATAGAGTATCAGGGTTGGAAGGGACCTCAGGAGATCATCTTCCACTATTTACTATAATTATAACAAAAAATGAAATGGTGTCAAGAGGGGTAAAAGGCTAAGACAAATTCTGAAACGTATTCCTTTGTGGGCAAAATTCATCATGGCTACAGCCAAACACAATTTTCTTAAAAACCAGCGTGTCATCTTAAAAATGGACCTTTTATTAATTAAAAGCATATTAAATTTCTTTCAAACATATTTCAAATGTTATTCTAAAGGTACACGTGGCTAGAGCCATGGATAAGGAATACTCTGTTTAGATCAACCAAGCCATGCAGCGGCCAATACTTCCAAGGGCTCTCTGTTGATCCTCTTGAAGGGTTCACAAAAAGAAAAGGAGTACTTGTGGCACCCTAGAGACTAACAAATTTATTTGAGCATAAGCTTTTGTGAGCTACAGCTCACTTCATCGGATGCATTGCTTATGCTCAAATAAATTTGTTAGTCTCTAAGGGTGCCACAAGTCCTCCTTTTCTTTTTGTGAATACAGACTAAGACAGCTGTTACTCTGAAACTTGAAGGGTTCAGGCTCCAAATGTAGGGGGCAATTCTCGCAAAATGTTTGGGTAATCTTTGCAAATTTACTCTTTACTACTTTACTATTACCAGCAGGAGAGTGAGTTTGTGTGTGTATGGGGGTGGGGGGGATGTGAGAAAACCTGGATCTATGCAGGAAATAGCCCGACTTGATTATGTAAAGAGTTGTCACTTTGGATGGGCTAGCACCAGCAGGAGAGTGAATTTGTGTGGGGGGGTGGAGGATGAGAAAACCTGGATTTGTGCTGGAAATGGCCCACCTGTTGATCACTTTAGATAAGCTATTACCAGCAGGACAGTGGGGTGGGAGGAGGTATTGTTTCATATTCTCTGTGTGTATATAAAGTCTGCTGCAGTTTCCACCGTATACATCTGATGAAGTGAGCTGTAGCTCACGAAAGCTCATGCTCAAATAAATTGGTTAGTCTCTAAGGTGCCACAAGTACTCCTTTTCTTTACTACGTGTAAACAGGGGAAACACACAAGGAGAAGAGGGAAACGTTTGTCTTTAGGTGACATTTTATGCTTTAGGCCAGCTTCCCTCTCCCCCCGCTTTTGTGTCCCCAATCTGCATTTGGCAGGAGCAGGAGGAACATAGCTATTGGTATATTACATTTGCTTCCTTGCAGTGATGGCACTGGCTGGGAGCCGTCGGACAGTCACTACATCCGCTCCCCCGCCGGCAGCTACTTTACTTTCTAGGCCGAGATTATCTCGGCGTGAGCACAGGGTATAAACCCGTGACCCGGCCCTCAGAGCGGCGCCCTTCCAGCAGAGACACAAGTCCCGGTCCCCTCTCGCTACGGTCCCCTCCTCCCCCAGCCTTTCACCGCCAGGCTTTGCCCTCTCCCCGAGCAGCCCTGAGGCGGCGCGGTGCGGCGCGGCGCGGCTGCTCCCGGGCATGCTCAGTGCTGCGAGGGAGCGACGCAGCCCCTAGGCGGGGCGGGCTGGGGAAGGCGGAGGCTAAGGGGCCTCGCCCCCGGGGCCGGGGACGTGCAGCGCGAGCTGCAGCCGCTGGGATCAGTGATGGCTCCGTGGGTCTCCCCGACTCCCCCTGCGCCGGGCGCCCAGGGGAACCCCTCCGACCTCGGTGGGTGACTCCGTTGTTTCCTTGCGCCGCGCGGGAGTTTCGGGGGGGAACGAACGCTGGGCCGGGCCTGGAGCCGCCGCCGCCCCGCCGAGCACCCGCTTCCCGGCCCCTGACTTTCCCTAGCCCTCCCTAGGGCCTCTCCCCGCGCCTGGGTGCGCCTGCCCCGGCTGCGGCCTCCCGGTGCTGCGCGCCTGACTCCCGCCGAGCACCCTGGTGCTTCTCCCCGCCGCCCTTCCCCGGAGCAGGCAGCGTTCCTCCGTGGGCGTCCGCCACGGGCCGCCCCAGAGCCTCCCTCAGTCCCCGTCCCAGCCCATAGATCTCCCGGGACCCCTCCGCGTATCTTCCCCCGGCTCCCCGTCCCACCCAGGCGTCCGCTAGCGCAGCGCCCTCCTCTGCCTCCCTTTTCCCTGCGCACTGACTTCCCCGGGGGCCGGCGCGCTCGCCACTACCTGCCTGCCTCGCCTGGGCACCCCCGGCGGGGGCAGAGGCAGCCGGAGCTCTGGGGGCGACCCCGGTCCTTCCGGCTAACTAGCCCAGCGCAGCCGCTTGTTACTGAGAGGCGCTGCCTCCGGAGTCGCCTAATCTCTGCCCGAAGTGAGAGCGGCAGGCTGGGGCCACAGGCACTTTTTGAGGAGTTGTATTATGTAGTCTCCGGGTTGGGCACCCGAGCTGGGTGAGGAGAAGCAGAGCTCGGGCTGGGTATTTCTTCTCTCCCTTCCGAGCCTTTCTCTTGGCGATCTTACTTTTCTGATAGTTGAAAGAGGTCCCCCCCTCCCTCCCCCACCGATGAGGGTTCACTTTGGTACAGCTTCTTGTGTAATATCCCATAACTAGAGGCATAGCTGAGGGTAAGGAGGTCCCTGCAGTGTTTCAAAGCTGTAGCAAGAAAGTTCTTGGCTTTTCAGGTTCACCTCACGGTGCAAGTTGCCCAATTTTTGCTAAAACAAAACTCTAAAATATTGGTTTCAGGGCTGTTTTTTTGCTTTTCTTATATGAATTTGGCATGTCTAAGTTAAACTTGGATCCAAAATTAAGTCACATAAATTCAAGGCAGATGACTTGTCTTCAGATGCTTCCTGTTGCTGTTTGAGGTTTCAGAGTAGCAGCCGTGTTAGTCTGTATTTGCAAAAAGAAAAGGAGTACTAAGAAACCAATTTATTTGAGCATAAGCTTTTGTGAGCTACAGCTCACTTCATCGGATGCATTCAGTGGTATTTGTAGCTCACGAAAGCTTATGCTCGAATAGAGTGGTTAATCTCTAAAGTGCCACTAGTACTCCTTTTCTTATAACCAAGTTTATAATCTACTGGGTGTATTCATCCTATTTGTATGCACGTATCATTCTTGTTTCTGAAGCTAGAAGTATAACTCTGAAATCCTATTGTAATTATGCAAAGTGTGGGCCATTAATGGTGGTTTAGAATCTTGATGGCTCCCATTGACTAGGACAGTTGGTTGTAAATGGCTCCGTTTACTTGCAAACCTTCATATACACCTGTGGGCCAGCCCAGGAAGAATGGAGGCTGGGGTCTCACAGGACATGTGATCATGTCACCTGATACTGGAATCCATGAGCTGTAGCTCACGAAAGCTCATGCTCAAATAAATTGGTTAGTCTCTAAGGTGCCACAAGTACTCCTTTTCTTTTTGCGAATACAGACTAACACGGCTGTTCCTCTGAAACCCATCTTAAATCTGGTACTTTTCCATTTAGAAGGAGGGGTGGGGACAAGCACAGACAAAAGATTCTCACCTTGTGCCAAAGCTATAAAAGGCGGTGGAACAGAACAAAGGGGGCTGCCAGTCCGGAGAAAACCCCCAGTTAACACCTAAGATGTCTGCTGGAACTAACAAGGACTGTACCAGGGGACAGGATTGGGCCCAGACTAGGAAGGGTCTAGTCTGTGAAAGAAGCTTATTGAAACATCTCTGAGGGTGAGATGACCTGTAAATCAGTTTCTTAAAGTATTAGGCTTAGACTTGCATGTTTTTGCTTTATTTTGCTTGGTGACTTACTTTGTTCTGTCATTACTTGAAACCACTTAAATCCTACTTTTTAAAGTTAATTCACTTCTGTTTGTTAATAAATCCAGAGTAAGTGATTAATACCGGGGGGGAGCAAACAGCTGTGTATATCTCTGAGTGTTATAGCGGGAGGACAATTTATGAATTTACCCTGCATAAGCTTTACCCTGCCACAAGTACTCCTTTTCTATTTTCTTTTTAAAAATCAGTTAGTGCCAAGTATCATCAGATGGGCAGGACCTTGTTTCTGAAAACTGGACTTGTAAAACATTGGGACAGGGAACTCATAAGAGACTGGGAGAGTCAGACTCCTTTTCTTTCTGGGTTTATTATGAAATTCTTCCCTTCCCCTTTTCTAAAAAGACAGCTGCTCAGCTACACTTCTTCACATCTGTGAGCCACTGGATGTAAGTCTCTGGGAAGTGTGGAGATAATCACCGTTGTGCTTAAATTTCACTTTTCAGCTGAGTATCGGAAATGATAGTGACAACTATCCTCTATTGTTAAGGCCCTGCCAAAGTCACGGTCCATTTTGGAAAATTTCATGGTCATAGGATTTTTAAAATAGTCAATTTTATGGTTTCAGATGTTTACATCTGACATTTCAGGGTATTGTAACCATGGGCCTGATCCAAAAGGGGGTGTAGGGAGGCGGTGTGGTCCCCCGCTGCCCTGGAGAGGGACAAGATCCACTGGTCACCAGAGTGGGCAGGGCCAGAGTACTCCAAGCCCACCCCCCCCCCCCCCAGAGGGTTAGTTGTTGGACAGGAAGTATCAGAGCCCAACCCCAGAGCTCACTCAAAGAACAGCCGCTGGAGACGCCAGATGCCTCCTGCCCAGCTCCTGCTGGGGAGACTCCAGCAACCAGTGGCAGACCTGGAGACTGGCTTGATCAGCCAATACTTGACACAGATCAGCATGTGGGAGAGTTGCCGAGCCTACCCCTCACCAGCTACCCAGAAGAGTTGCCGAGCCTACCCCAGGCCAGCTACCCAGAAGATCCAATGGTGATCGACCCCCCTGAGGACACCACCTTGACCCAGGTACCCCCAGAGGGGGAGCTGGGAAGTAGCCCGGGGACAGCTGATCCAAGTCTGGCTGCCACACTGCCGGAACCCATGTCAGTGTGTTGCGGCCGGGATCCGCACTGACACAACAGCGGGACTTTGGCTGCTGCTAGGGCTCCGGGCTGGGACGCAGTGGAGTGGAAGGGCTTGCGCCACCCAACATGTGGGTGGCAGTCTCCCCCATCCCAGGCCTCTTGGAGCCTGAAGCCTGGGTGTGCTATTTACCTGTGTTTGCTCAGCCCCTGCCTGAGGGTCTGAGCCTTAGACTCACTGCTTCCCTACCTATATAAACTGCTGCTCAGCCCCTATCTGAGGGCCTGAGACTTGTATTCATTGCTGCCCCACCCTGGGCTTGGGCCTGGGCCTGGGCCTGTTGACTGTGTAACTTGTTGCTCAGCCCCTGCCTAAGGGCTTGAGCTGTGACTCTTTACTGCCCCGCCCACATCCCAGGCTTGGGCTTGTTAACTTTCACTTGTTACCTATGTGTGTTCAGCCCCTGTGGGACGGCTTGAGCCAGGACTCCTGTGGCCTGACTGATTCCCCAGGGGCCAGTGCTAGGACTAAGGGAGGCGGTGTGGTTCCCCACTGCCCCGGGGAGGGATGAGCCCCGACGAACCCGCTCCACATGGGTCATAGGAAAGGCTACTGACGGGGGGTTATGAGATCACCACCTTTACTTCTGCGCTGCTGCTGGGGGGGTGCTGCCTTCAGAGCTGGGCAACTAGAGAACAGCAGCTGCTGGCTGGGCTCCAAGCTCTAAAGCCAGCCCCACTGCGAGCAGCAGCATGAAGTGAGGATTGCAGGGTATGGGGGAGCAGGTTACCCTACATCTGGGTTTTCCTGGCAGCCTCTCCGCCTGGGTCGGGGTGAGGGGTGCTGATAGCTGGGGCTGCAGCCTCTCCGCCTGGATTGTGGCCTGTCCCAGCCAGCTGTCACAGAGCTTCCTACAGCTGGGGGAGGTTCCCAGAGGTGGGTCTGACCAGCTTGTGGAGTGGCTCCTGCAAGGGAAAAGGAAGTCCTGTCCCTCCCCAGCCTGGGCTGGGATTAGCGATTGGAGCCTGACCCACAGTAGAAGCCTGTGGCTGGGGTGCCCCCAGCCCTGCCCCTCCCCTACAATAGACTGATTTCATGGTCCATGATGTGTTTTTCACGATCGTGAATTTGGTAGGGCCTTATCTGCAGTGTAAGGGCTGGTCTACACTGAAAACTTAAGTTGGCATAGCTACACATGTCGGGGTGTGAAAAATTCCCCTGGTGTGGACCCCCAGTGTGGACAGTTCTGGGTCCATGGTGGAGGTGGATTTACTGCAGTGAGGGGAGAACCCCTCCTGTTGCTGTAATGAGTGTCTACACTGAACTGCTGCAGCTGTGCCACTGTAGCGTTTTAAATGTAGACATACCCTAAAAGAGATTGTTGAAATACAGGGCTTGTCTATGTACAGAAGCTGTGCTGTTTTAACTAAAATAGGTTTTTAAACTGATTTTAATTAAGTCTGTGCAAATCCCTCTATGGTGACACAATGATTTAAAATATTTGCCACCTTAGCTTTTATATGTAACTTTACCATTGAAAGCTTAAGTGATATGAATTAGTTTTAAATCTTCAGTGTGTCTACCGAGGGTTTTGGACAAATTTAGCAAAATCAGTTTAAAATAGCACCTTTTGTTAATCCAGTGCAGTTTTGCATGTAAACTTCGTATAAACTGGCTGTGATGGGTTCGGTCACAGAGATCCCCTTGGTCCAGGCTGAGGTTGATGGTGGGATGGAAATTGTTGAAATCATGGTGGAATTCCTCAAGGGCTTCTTTTCCATGGGTCCAGATGATGAAGATGTCATCAGTGTAGAGCAAGTTGAGTAGGGGCATTAGGGGACGAGAGCTGAGGAAGCGTTGTTCTAAGTCCGCCATAAAAATGTTGGCATACTGTGGGGTTGCAAGCTTCCAGAGAACAATTATCATCCATTTCTTTACTGTCTGAGCAGCTCTCGTCTTGGTGTCTATGCATTTTAGTGTTGGGATGAGTGTGGCATACTGTTAGGAGGCTTATTCCTTCACCCACTTACTTCCCTGGTCCTTCTCGCATGAACAGAGAGCAACAATACCCGAAATCCAAAGGTGCAAACAATTCGATGTGTATTGGAGTGAACTTCCAGCAAGCATGATTCCAGTTTCCTTCCTTAGTGTCCCCCTTCCCAGCTCTGACACCACAGAGCCTTACACCTGTGTCCCTGTTCCCATTCCTGCCCTTGGCCAAACATGATTCCAATTTCCCCACCCCCATTCCCTGTTCCCATTTTCCCCACACACACCCACCCACTCACTTCCTGATTGACTGCAGACTATATAGTAAAACTTGAGTTCAGCTTAGCTATATCTTAACCAATCATTTTCCTGAAATTTAACTAACCAATCCTAACATATTGGAACATGATTATGTAACCAATTATATCCCACCACCTTAATTAGTTTACACCCAGCAAAATTAATTATACAGCAGACAGAAACAATCACAGAACCAGACAGAGATTATACAGACAAACAATAGCAAAGTGGGAACTATAATGACAAAACAATACAGAAGTGAGGATTTTACATCCCAGCTATTGATAAGTGAGTTCTTGCCAGACAGGATGCTATCAAACTAAGTTTCCTTTTACATTTTCTAGGCACTTCCCTTTCTCTGGAGGCGATAGGCACTATCAGGACAGGATTGTATTCCTAACAGCCCAATAGCACCTTATTTCAATGTGACTAGTTGTGAATGTGAGGATGTGACCGTTCACTTTCCAGTTTATGGCTGCCTCTGTTGCTTAGCCAAAGGTCTTAGCCTAAGCACAGGGCCTCAGACTGTCACAGTAAGAGAAGGACCTTACACTGGCAGACAGTGATTTTGATTCTTTCTTTTATACCTTTAACTTGCCAAGTGATAAGAATACACCTAAATTCTTCGAGTACAGGCCTTTACCGACAGGCCTGAATATCTGTATCCTAACACATACAACAACAGGAACGTGACCTTCCACATACAAAAGTTCAGGAGCAGTTGCTGATCATCCCAGATTTGCATCATGATCCAGTCCTACCATTCAGTGCTTGTAGTACAGGCCCCCAAAACACTGTTGCACTGTGTGCAGTTTGTCATTGAATACCTACAGTAGCTGGTTAGCTTTTTTGCTATCTTCCACTCATCCTCTGTATCCCCTCTGTGTCTTGAGAGTGTGGTTCTTGCAAATATGAAAAAATCCCTTACCCTGTCCTTAAAATGGGCAAGAGACGCTCCACTGATCTGTTTGGCTTCTGGTGGTAAAATGAAAAATCTGCAAAAAAAAAAAAAAAAAGCCAAATGTCAACTCTCTCTGTTGAAATAGCTATGTGAGTAGCAGTATTCCATAAGAACTTCTGTGTAGACATTTCCGTAATGGAAACCACCTTCTTTTTATCAAAATTTCCTTGCTCGCTTTTGGGGAAAGCTACAGTTCCAGGTTGTCATCATGTAACATCGCTATTAAGATCCTTCAACATTCTTGCTAAAGATCTTCAGCAAAGAGGGAATAGTGAGGACCTGGTTCATGTATTTCAAATCTAAGTTACATTTACTTAAATTAAATTATCAAATTGCACAAATGTTGGGAGCTCTTTCTGCAGAGAAAAAACTTGCTAGAGATCTTTCACTTTTTTTGCAAAAACTTCATAAAATTCTTGACTTGTATTCCCTTCATCCTCTTTTTTCAAGCCATTTTGTGCAAACACACTGTTGCAGTAACTAAAAACAAGTATCTATTAACATACCTTATAGTACAGAGTATACCTTTAAAATTTTTAAATACATTTCACATACAAATTTAAATATTTGTCCGTCCCGTTCCAAACTATATTGCTGTTTGAGTCCATACTTACAAAATATCTAAACCTAACCCGCAAAGGTTTCTTCTCGCTTCGTCCTCCTTTTCACGCACATGCACACGGGTCCCTTTCTCTCTCTCCAGAATTAGGTTAAAAAAAAATGTAATGCCACTTCTGAAGGCTGAGCTGCAGCATTTCCTTTTTCCATCCCAACTGTTGCTGATGTCACAGAACCATAAATCCAGGAATATTGCAAAATTCAAGGGAAATGAGATGGGGGTGGGAGAAACAAAAGGAGAAACTGGGTGAATGGGATAGAAGCTAAGCCCTCTGAGCAGTACAAAGGAAGCTAGCAAGGTTGGCACAGGTAACTGTAGACTTAACTGCTATAGCAGGGAAGTTGCCTTCATCGTGCCTAGTCCATAAGTGGCGCTCAGGTATTTTGAGAGTGCGCTTGTTTTAGGCTGTCTTAGGGAGGAGAATCCATTTGCGCAGTTGTTCTCACACCTTTTGTAGTTTTCCACTGGCTGTTGGTGGGTCGTCTTAATTTAGCCATCTGCCTTTCCTTCCAAACTTCAAAATTATTTGGTGGGGGGATGGGACAGGGAGGAAAGAGGGTTGATAGTGGAAAGGAAAGCATTCCCACATTCTCTGCAATATTTAATACCTTTAGGTAAGGCAGACCTACAAGCTGATCTGCCTGTGATTTAGTAGCAGGGGCAGACACTATGTAGAAATAATTTGGGGAGGAAGAGTAAAAGAAGATGAAATAAAATGTTATTTCTGCTGTAAAAGCCTCTTTATATGTCTTGTAGTACCCCAGTATGGGAAGAACAGATATATATTTTTCCCATCACAAGGGTCCGTGCTAAACATAGGCACTGACTCTGTGTGCGCTCTGGGGCTAAAGCACCCATAAAAAAAGAAGTGGATGCTCAGCAGCCACCCCCCAGACAGTTGTTTGGTGGGCCCCGCAGATCAGCTCCTCCCCTTCTGCCCTGCACCTCCCACCTGCTGCTGATCAGCTGTTCAATGGTGGGAGGGAGGCGCTGGGGGGGGAGGGGAGGAGCAGGGGCGGGAAGAAGCGGAGCGAGGGCAGGGCACTCTAGGGGGTGTTGGGGCAGAGTGGGGGCAGGAAAAGGCAGGGCGGAGCCTCGGGAAAGAGGCAGGTTGAGGGTGGAGACTTGGGAGAAGGGATGGAGTGGGGGTGGAGCATCCCCAGGGAAAGCTGAAAGTTCGGCATCTTTGGTGCTAAATACAGTTTCCCCTCTTAGATAGGGAAGATATGGATCCTTCCAGTATCTCAATTTTTTGTATGGAAGATAAGAGCTGCAAGGGTCCTATTTTTAAAGTGGTGTTGGGTTATCCTCGAATCCAAGGGGAGGTAACGGCATTATTTAGTGCTTCTGAGATGTAGGGGTGGATAATGTTTATAATGTTTATCCACAGCAGGATGGGAGTGGGACGAATGATCTTTCAGTGTGGTAGAACCAAATGATGAGTGATAGGGAGGCATAGAAACAATTGCATATTCGTTAAAGTTAATGGCTAGGCATCTGGTTTGCCTCCAGTAGAACCTGTTCAGTATTTTAGATTAGATGTGAACTGCTTTTCGTTTTACATCAGATCCATGTCCACTCGTCATTCCACTGATGTTCTTTTTTTCCATTTTGTCCCAGGTAAGGATGCGTAATGGATAGTATTTAGCCACTGGTAACATTGGGCAGCATTTGGGAAGTCTGCTTGCTTTGGAGATAAACTTCTTGAGTGGTGAGGTAGTGAGTTTGGGGGTGCATCTGAGCATGGCTTAAACAGCAGGTTCAGAGGCATAATCCGAACAGTAGATAGTATTCCAATGCAACATAATAGCTGCAGAGATGCAGGTATGCTTCCAATTCAATGAACTATTGTAATGATCTGTGACAGTACATACACTTCCCCTTTCAGATAGTACAGAAAGTATTGTAAAATGGGCCATCTTTATGGTGATAGCCCTAGTCAGTTTCTCATTGTGACTAGGTGTATAGGTGGGATTTCAACCTAGTGATTTTCTGTCTTAAATTCTATGTCTGAGCTAAACAAAATGAAATTCATGGTATCTTCAAGGATCTGTATTGAAGTAAACTTTGATTTAACTATATTAAAAGAAAGTTTGACGTTTTTCCTCCTTATTTTGAAATATAATGAATGTTTGTGGAAGGATTGTTGCTTAGTGGGTAGAGCTGGGGCCACCAGGGCTAGACTCTTGACTTCTGTTCCCAGCTCTGCCACTGAACTGCTGTGTCCTTAAGCAAGTTGCTTCACCTTTTGTGCTCATTTCGCCATCTGTAAAAGAGAATACCAACTACTTATAGGGGTTTGAGGCTTAATTCATCAATGGACCTGGATCCATTAGTGGAAAGACTCCCATTGACTTCAGTGGTCTTAGGATCAGGCTCACAATTCACCCAGTCCTTTGAGAGCCTAAAGTCAGAGCTGCTTGAAAGTGCAAAGTATTATCTAGAACTGTGCTTCATAACCATGTATTTATTTTACATAGGAAATCAAGATTTTCCTAATATTTTGGCAAGCCATGGTTTAGAAAGTACTACATCTCAAGCTGTCGGTGATCACACAGGAAGTGGCATGCATCCAGAATATCTTGCTTATGGGTTGGTTCCTGTCTTTTTCATCATGGGCCTTTTGGGGATCCTCATCTGTCACGTGCTTAAGAAAAAAGGATATCGGTGTAGAACAGAGGCCGAGCAAGAAATTGAAGAGGAAAAACTTCGAGAAAAGATAGGTAAGTAATGTCAATGTCTTCTTGTTCATTTTTATGCAGTATGTTACTAATCTGGAATGATCCATAGCGGGAGCGCGCGCGCGCTCTCTCTCTCTCTCTCTCTCATAATACATATCCTCGATTAAATAGTTTAAGAACATTGACTTAACAGACAATTAAATGGTAATTACTTTTGGCCATTCCCAACCTAACCAAGTGACCTCTATTAGGAAATTCTACCAATTCCCAATGTCAGTCCTCTAAAATATACTTTTAAAACCTTTTTTTGAAGGATCAAAGTGTCCAAAATACTTCATGGAGACAAGGTGGGTGAGGTAATCTCTTTTATTTGACCAAAGTCTGTTGATAAGAGAGACACTAAGAGCCCATGTCTCTCTTACTGGACTAACGTCTATTGATGAGAGAGAGAGACACTAAGAGCCCATGTCTCTCTCATCAACGGATGTTAGCCCAGTAAGAGAGACATGGGCTCTTAGTGTCTCTCTTATCAACAGACTTTGGTCAAATAAAAGAGATTACCTCACCGACCTTGTATCTCTAATGTCCTCGGACCAACACGCTACAACGGGTAGGCAACCTATGGCACGCATGCCAAAGGCAGCACGCAAGCTGATTTTCAGTGGCACTCACACTGCCTGGTTCCTGGCCACTGGTCTGAGGGGCTCTGCGTTTTAATTTTAAATGAAGCTTCTTAAACGTTTTAAAAACCTTATTTACTTTACATGCAACACTAGTTTAGTTATATATTCTAGACTTATAGAAAGAGACCTTCTAACAACATGAACATGTATTACTGGCACGCCTAACCTTAAATTAGAGTGAATAAATGAATGCTTGGCACACCGCTTTTGACAGGTTGCCAATCCTTGCGCTACAACAACACTGCATACAAAATACTTTATAGCTTTTGTGACTATAAACTGCGATTTGAATAGCGAACCCACTTTTCTGTATTTCATCTGCTGTCTGCAGCAATAGTGTGCAGTGCATAACTCTTTTAAAGATTGACATCCATAAACCAGCCTTTTTTAAAGCATAACTTTTTGGTGTATGTTTAACAGTGCAGATACTTGAATTTTATTTGAATAAATTTAATACTCCAGTACTACGGTTTCCACCCTCTCTCTCCTCCCCTGTTGTGATGGATTGGAACATTGGTGTGCTCTGGCTATATTCTTTGGTGTCAGGCCTTAACACATTTGCTGCCATCATTTTTTCCCCTTCTTTTCTTTTTTCCCCCCCTTCTCTAACATTTTTTCTTTGTGCTCTTGTTCTTGTCCCCTTACTTGTCAAAGTGTACTTGCAGCGTGTGTTAGTGGCTCCATGAATTCAGTAGCATGTGGTGCTGAAGTTACTTATTTGACTTGGGAGCAGAGGAGAAAAGCTTACGCCTGGTAGGTTGTTCCTGTTGCTGTCTTTATTGGGAGACCCTGTGAGCTGTGGGTATTTTTCTTTAACTTTGTAGCTGGAAGTCAGGTAGGAATGGTAGGGTGGGCTCTCTTCAGGAGACAGGCAGGAGCTCCTCAGTGAAGCAGAGAGACCAAGTAGCTTTAGGGATAATGCTGCCTTTCCTGGTCTAATAAAATTAAAATATTGAGTAAGGAAGTGACTTTCTATATTTTTGTTGCCACATAGGGTTGCCAGGTGTCCAGTTTTTGACTGGAATGTCTGGTTGAAAAGGGAAACTGGCAGCCTTCGGTCAGCGGCCTTTGCCACTAGGGGACAGGAAGAGCAACAGCTGATGCTGGAGCCTGGAGGAGCGGCTCCGCTTAGCAGCTGCTGCTCTTCCCCCCACCCCCAGCCTGACAGAGAGAACTGGCTGGCTCCTGGACCAGGCTCCAAAGTAGGTTCCGGCACCAACCGGGGGTGTGTGGGTAACCTGTCTGCCCTCCTGCCCCGCTTTGCCCCGATTCCCCAGCCCCTCGCTCTGGGGATCCTCCTGCTTTGCCCCGATTCCCCAGCCCCTCGCTCTGGGGATCCTCCTGCTTTGCTCCGATTCCCCAGCCCCACCGTGCTGTGCCCTGATTTCCCCACCCCGGCCCCTCGCTCCGGGGACCAGTTCCCCCTCTGCCCCAGTCCCTTGCTCTAGGGATGGACCCTGTTGTGCCCCGAATTACCCACCCCAGCCCCTTGGTCTGGAGACTGCCCTCCCACTCCATTATGCCCTGATTTCGCCAGCCCCTCGGTCCAGGGACCGACCCCTGCTGTGCCCCTATTGGGCAGGCTCTGCGCCAGCTCCTCCCAGCCCAGCTCTGCAGGTGGCAGGTGAGTTCCAGGGGATGAGGGAACGAGTAATGGGCTGGGGTGGGGGACAGGTGGGGGGCTGGGCAGAGCCTCGGAGGAGGAGGCAGGGCAGGGGGTGGGACCTCGGTAAAGGGGTGGGGGAGGGGTGTTCTGTTTTCAGGGATTAGAAAGTTGTCAACCCTATAATAGGGTGGAAAGCAGTGGTGTATTCATTATGCACAGTCAGAGTCAATTTTTACCCCTTAAACTACTTTGAGAAGGCTTTTTGTGAGACTCCCCCACCAGAGTTCTCAATTCAGAGATTTTTTTACACAGGTATATTTATATACTCATTATATTTAAGTGCTTTTTCTTAAAGCCTTGGCTCCTGGAGTCATGCTGTTAAATGAAAATCTTGGCTTTCATTTAAAAAAATGTTTCTATCCCTGTGTTGTGTGGAAAAGCTTGAAAATGCAAATCCTAAAGATTCAAACTCTAGAAGGCAAACAAAAATCTAAAATTTAGTATTTTTATAAAATCTTTCAATTTTTAAGATAATCTCATGATTTTGGGAGGGTCTGGCTCTTGATATTTGAATGCTTGGGGCTGGCAGTACCTGACTCTTGTCTTCCTAGTTGTAGTGAAAGGCGCTGAATATATAGTCTTAGATACTGAAGTCTGTGGTTAACAATATAGCAGTGCAAGCTTCCCTGCAACAACTCATTAATTTGCTACTAGTCAAGTGTGAGGTATTCCATATGTGGTAACTTAATCTCCAAACCCATTTTCTGCTGAGATTTATATTCCTTCTGCTCTCTTAAAATTTAGGTGAGAAGGAGGATGAAAGTGATGATAGAAGTTTGATATTTCAAAGTTTTATGAAAACTCTGCGTTTTCAGTGGGTATTAGATGAAATACATGAACTTAAGAACTCAGTCCTGATGTCTTTAGTGAGAGAACCTTGCCTGAATAAGGGCTGCAGGACTGTCTTCAGGATTGTTACTAAAATCCATAAAAAGTGTGTGTTTGGGTTTTTTTAATATGCAGTGATATAATACGTATGGAATAAATATATATTTAAAAAATGAGATGTTCTCCTGTTCTCCTTACTTTACCATAGGAAAAAAATTTATAGGAGGCTGTAATACTGACTATATATTGTTGTTTTTCCCCCATAGAAATGAATGAAAGTGTAAATGACAATAACGATACTGTGGGGCGAATCGTCAACATCATTATGGAAAACGAAGGTACAGTTTAATATCAGTGTACAGTGTTCTCCGTTAAAGATGTGAATTCCTCTGATGCAGTTTAAAAAGCTACATAGTATCATAAAGAAAAGGAGTACTTGTGGGACCTTAGAGACTGACAAATTTATTTGAGCATAAGCTTTTGTGAGCTACAGCTCACTTCATCGGATGTATTCAGTGGAAAATACAGTGGGGAGATTTATATACATAGAGAACATGAAACAATGGGTGTTACCATACACACTGTAATGTGCTCAGATAAATTTGTTAGTCTCTAAGGTGCCACAAGTACTCCTTTTCTCTTTGCGACTACAGACTAACACGGCTGCTACTCTGATACCTGTCATAGTATCAAAGTGTTTCCACAGCATGTTAGGGCTTTCTTCATTCCGATGCTCTCTCATACCTTCTTGTTGGCACACACTTAACGTTCTGAAATTGCTTTTTAGAATGAGACTTCCCATATCTTCTCTAAAGTTAGTTTTGTGGGGTTTTTTTTTTTTTTGGGGAAGGTTGGTTCATGTTGGAAGTTTAACTTGTCTCTTTCACCAACACAAGTTGGACCAATAAAAGATCTCTCGCCCATCTTGTCTAATATCCTGGAACTAACACAGCTAAAACACTGCAAACTTGCTTTTCCTGTCATTAAAAATAATAGAAACTTTGCAGTCTTTGCAAGAGCCTGAATGTTCTTATTTTTAAAAGAAGAAGATAAAAGAACTAGCTTGTTCGCTTAATGGTAATGTCAAAGCCTATTTGGGAGCATTTAAATACTACCATTACACTGACTGGCTTGGAATGGAGGGGCAAGTTCCGACTACTGCACATGTGTGACTGAGGCAAAGGTTTTCAGCAAAGTAGGGAAAACAGGACAGCAGCACTGCTGTTTACTTTGTGATGGATGTATCTAAACAATGGAAAACTAAATGTTTGGAAGGGGGAAAGAATGCTGAGCAGCTATGCAGGCATGTTATGTAAGATCTTCCCCCTGTAACATCACTTCACATTCTGCCTGCTTGGCCAAACAAAGGGCTAGCTGATTAGGAAAATGTTTTTCTGTTTTGTTTTCAAATTTTGTATTTTGCATTTGTGTAATTCAGATACTTAAACACTAAACTGAGTCCTCTGAGGACAAGTACTTTGGATTTATTCAATAAAATTCTTTTAGAAAGAGGTGGTAGAAGAATTAAAAAAAAAAACCTGCTGAAAAGGTACACTAAATGGTTTATTGAAGAGTTTTAACAATATATCAAAATGTAGAACCCCCTGAATATTTTATATATGTGCGAGCAGTATATATCTGTATCTCCACCCTTTCCATAAACACACCATATTATATGCATGTTTCAATGTGTGATCGTATATACATTTTGGAACATTGAAGTAAACACTCTACTTTATTTCAAGTTAGTTAATACATAGTCAAAGATACGTAAGGACAGAGGCTTGCTTGTAGCTCGGCTTGCAGGGGAGCAATGAAATAGAGTGGCTGTCCGGCCAAAACAGGAGAGTGGTGCCTGTGTAGCATTCTTCTCTGTAACATTGATGGAATCTGCTCTTTGCAACATCACACAATTGGGATTACATGGGTTTTTAGAGAGTTGTAGGACCTTAATCAGGGAGTAGCTGCTATGTATTGAACTGCTCTTCTATGAGTTTCTCCCAGTGTAAATTTATGTACAAGACTGCCCTTAGACCATTAACTTCTCCTTTGTGGCATCCAACCTGCAGTGTATAGCTGAACTAGTGATCCAGTAGCAGTACAGCTCTAGGAATATGCCAAATGCAATGCAAAGGCTAGTATCTATGTGGATGTCCTGGAAGCGAAGGGAATTGGATCAGATTTTCCTTTGAAAACTTGGGCTGTTCACAGTTGAAGGGTTGTAGCTCCTGGCCTTTTCTGTACATTCATAAATACCCTGAAGAGAGAATGTGGTGGCTATTCAGAATTCACTTGTTTATAATTGGAATACTTTTTTTGTGCAGGTTGGGAGTAGCTGGCCCTCAATATGTTGCTCTGAATATGTGATCTGTCTATAATTCTTAAGTTGTAGTGTACTTAAGGTTGTGTAGTACTAGTGTGCACTGTTAAACAGCTGCTTATTTTACCAAAAGGCAGCTTTATTTTAATGGTGGCTGAATTGTTGCCTTTGAGATCCATCCAAATAATTAAATATTCATTAACTCCACTAATCTTTGACTTGTGGCCTGGGAGTGCTTTTTAGACAAGGTTATCAGTTTGGTAGATGGTATGCATGGTATTAAGCATGTCAAGCATTCTCATAACATGGACAGTAATATATGTGCTTTGTATTGGGACTGAGATATGTGTTCTACAGCAAGAGTAACTTTACCTTTTCAATTATAAACTCCTATAAGTTTTTAAATAAATCAGCATTTCATAGAATCATAGGACTGAAAGGGACCTTGAGAGGTCGTCTAGTCCAGTCCCCGCACTCATGGCAGGACTAAATGTTATCTAGACCATCCCTGGCAGGTGTTTGTCTAACCTGCTCTTAAAAATATTTCATCATACAGATTTATTTTGTTTGCAGTCAGATTTTTTATTTGTTGCCTTTGGCAGCTTACCTTTTGGAGACTCCATAATGCAGACTTCTCCGGTCTAGATGGAACTAAATTCAGAGCCATTCAGTTCAGCTCGTGAGATTGCTGTTAATGCACCTTTGCTAAGTGGATTCTGGGTCAAAATTAGAATCTTCAGCTTGCTTACTTTTTACTATCTTTTTTTGGTTATACAAGGACATAGCAACACATTTCTTCTAACAATTTCTGTTTATGCTTTTTGCAGCAAATGCTGATATGTTAAAGGCCATGGTGGCAGATAACAGTGTGTGTGATCCTGAAAGGTAAGACCTTTCTATTTTAACTCTGTATGTTTCCTCTGCTATGTCAAGATGTACCCTACCAATGATTCAATGTTAATTAAAACTGAAATCTCAGTGAAATTGCAATCCTTTAAATGCTATTATGATAACTGAAAGTTTGTTCAGTCTAGTTTTAGATTCAAGAACATTCAGTATTAGTCATTTGGGAGCTTAATCACAGGGATGCTACTTCCAAAGATGCAGTTACTCTTTTTTTAAAAAACAAAAAATGCATATGTTCTTGTCACACTACTCCTGTAAGTTTATGTAGTGTCCATTTTTATCAAAACTGGAAATGTACATTTGATTTCATAAAAACAAGGTATCTATATCTCTTATTAGAAAAAATACAGATTGCCACAAGTTGCTTTACTTGCTAATCAGGTTTTTTTCTATTCTTTTGCTCTCACTTGCCTGAGTCATTGGTTGAAAAGAAACTATTTTGATTTCATTGTCTTATTCTTCTCTGATTCACTGAGATTTCTACTGTAAATCTCAATGCATACACACAGAATTGAAAGTTCCTCAGAAAAAAGTTTCTCTCAGAAGAGAGAGGAAATCTATCATACCGGGGATTGAAAATTGACAGTAGCTCATAGTGCCTTTACACACTTGTTTAATTCTTTAAAACAAGGCTAGGGCTTGAAAAACTAACCCACCGCTTAACAGCTAGAGAACTAACCCAGATTGCTAGAGGCTGATCTGAAAGATGAGAGGGGAAGAGACAGTAGCTTTCTAGGGGCTTGATTTGTACAAAACTTGACTTCAAAAATACACATCTTTCTTTTTTTCTTAGAATATTTGTTCAGTTGTAAATGTGCGTATACTTTGGGGTAGTATACACAGTTTTATGTGCCAATATAACTATATATGTTTTAGAAAATGAGAGAGTTAAAGTGGAACAACCCTTCTTAGGCCTTGTCTACACTGGCAAGTTTCTGTGCATTAAAGCAGCTTTCTGTGGTGTAACTACTGAGGTGTACACACTACCAAGTCACTTAGTGCACAGAAACTCCTCAGTTGCAGCGTTGCCAAAAACCACCTCAACAAGAGTCTCTTGTCGTAAACCTTACAGCGCAGAGGGTCCAGTGCTGTATTGGCAGTGTAAACATATTACAGTGCAGAAAACAATCAGTTGGCCTCCGGAGGTGTTCCCTAATCCCTCAAGTGGCTGCTATGCTCATTGTTTTGAACTCAGCTTCTCTGGAGACATGTGCCCCTCCCCTTTCAAAGCTCCATTTCTGACAGCCCTTACATGCTGTGCTGATCTGTTCTAGGACACACAGCAAGCCATTAATGTGGTAATTCTTGTGCTGTTGAACACAGGTGTGTGTGTGTGTGTGTGTGTGTGTGTGTGAGAGAGAGAGAGTGCTGTGCAGAAAGCCCAGGGAGGGAGGCAGGAGCTGATGTCGGGGTTTCCCCCTCCCCCTGTCTCAGCTCTGGTTACTTTCTGCCGCTGTCTGAACTTACAAGACAGTATGCTGACACACTCTGTCCCCCAAAACACAGTCTCTCCTCCCCCCTCCGTATACACACACACTCCATGTCGCACTCTGCCCCTCCCCCCCTTTCAGTTGAAAAGCAGCTGGCAATTTAGTAGGATGCCCGTGGAACAACAGGACTGGGAAACCTGCATTATGTGATGCTGTGCCTGCCCCAGGAGGCATTGCAAACCCCTCCCAAAGCACCCTGCAGCCAGTTGCACAGTGGAATAACTACCACAATGCACTGCTCTTTGCCATTGTAAGAGCTGCTAACATGGATGGACTCCACCGTCACAAGGAGTGGTGTGGACATGTAACAGCAGTTTAATTCTAGCGCCTTAATAAAAGTGGTATATAACTTGTTGTGCAGAAACTTGCCACTGTAGACATACCTTTCTTTTGGATGCAGTTGTACCAGTCTCTAAAGGTGCTTGTGTCTGTACTGATAAAACATGTTTAACTATATCAGCACCGATATAAACACCTTTAGGCTGGTACAACTGCATCCACGCTGAAGAGGGTTGTTCCACTTTTAATTATACCATTTTCTAAACAAATATAATTATAGTAGTACAAAGCCTGTGTGTAAATCAGCCCTCTATATGCATTATTTACACACTTTGTTCCTTCTCCTTCATTTTACCTCCTATTTTACTTGGAGCAATTTTTTGAGGAAAATATCTTTGCAATCTTGAGAGATGTCTGTTTTCAAATATGGGCCAATTTCAAAATAATCTTGTGTGATGATGCAGGAGTGTGTGGTTGAGTTAAAATTTGAACAACTAAATGGTTTTGGCTTCTCTTTGACTTTTCACAAGAGAAAATGAAGATGTATATGTGAATTTGCAAAACTGCCTTTTTTGTGGAGTGGGGTGGTGGTGTCTGCTGGTGCTCTTCTCTCAGTAAAAGGGGGGGTGGAGGGAGAAGGCTGGAATAAATTGTTGACTTTTCCACACCAGACTAGTGTATCTTTTTGTCAGCTAAAACTACCTTCTGTGATGGGGAAAAAAATCAACAATCTAAATTTAACACTAATTGGATACAACCTTAGGGTGTGTGATCAGAGAATAAGGTGGGATGATTATTTAAATTTAAAGAAACTGGCAAGCTATTTCTAAGAAGAACAATTATATGTAATTAAAATTAAACATTGTTAATTTTTTTTCTTTTGTTTTTTAAAAATAGCCCTGTGTCTCCTACCACTCCAGGCAGTCCTACAAGTCCAGGCTCTCCTTTGTCACCAGGTGATACTCCATCAAAACATAACTGTCGTGGCCGTCACTTGCATACTGTTGGGGGAGTAGCAGAGAAGGATGTTTGTACTCGCTGTAGTCACAAAAGATGGCATCTTTTAAAGCCAACCAACAAATCTAAAGAACAAAGAAAAAGCCGACAAGGAGAAGTTACAGTACTTTCTGTGGGAAGGTAAGACTGTTCTGTTTTGTTTCATGCTTTATTTACATGTTATCTCGTCTGACTCTTATTGTTGGATTAGTTATATGCTGCTACCACCTACTTCTGTAACGATTCTTACCACAACCCAGCACATGGATTTTTCTGAATTGCAAGACTGTAATTAACTTTCAAGGCATTGTGTTACTTCCCCAGGCATCAGATATCTGACCTGTTAATCCAAACTTTGTCAATTCACTAGTTCTCTTTTTTGATCAGATTTTTTTTATTGGGATTTGGATAAGCATATTGGCAAGTGAAAGAATTTTAATGATTAATTTGTATTACCATTAGTGTCTGGAGCCCTAGTCATGGACCAGGACCCCATTATGCTAGATGCTGCCCGAATGCAGAATAAAAAGACAGCCTCTGCCCCAAAGAACTTACTTCAGTCTAAGGCCTGGTCTACACCTAAAACTTAGGTCATTCTAACTACATTGCTCTGGGCAATGAAAATTTTCATTCCCTGTGTGATGTAGTTATGTTGACCTAACCCCACTGCAGATGCAAGATGGAAGAATTCTTCTGTCAATCTAGCGACCACCCATCGAGCGATGGAAAAACCCCCTTCTGTCACTGTAGTGAGCGTCTATGCTACAGCACTGTAGCTGCTCCTGTGTTGGTGTGCTGCTGAAGCACTTGCAGTGTAGACATAGGGCATGGCTACACTTGCAGATGTAGAGCGCTGAGAGTTACACCCGCCTTCGTGGAGCGCAGTTGGGAAGGCGCTGCAGTCTGTCCACACTGACAGGAACAAGCGCACTGGCGTGGCTACATTTGCGGCACTTGCCGCGGCATTGGGAGCGGTGCATTATGGGCAGCTGACCCACAGAGCACTTCTTCCCATTCTGGCGCTGTCCCTTGTGAGAAGGGGACAGGAGAGCGGGGCATTCTGGGTCCTGTCCCACGCCCCGCGACGCATCGGTTCGCATCCCAGCATTCCCTTTGCTTCTGTCCACATTTGGCTTCATCTTTCAACGTTTTTTGTACTGCGCGCTCTGTCTTCCCTTTCGGTCTGCAGGAATGGAGCCCAAACTGCTGAGGAGTATGCTGATGAGTCTCGTCAGCATGTCACGTTTGGCGGTCAAGTTATTCCTTATGATCCAAAGTGACAGTGAGCGCTCTGATGATATCGACTCGAGTAACGCATATGACATAAGCTTGTGGCATTCATGGACATGCTTACCACCATGGAACTCTGCTTTTGGGCTTGGAAAACAAGCAATGAGTGGTGCGATAACATCGTCATGCAAGTCTGGGATGACGACTTTCGGATGAGAAAAGCCACTTTCATGGGGCTGTGTGAGGAGCTCACCCCAGCCCTGCGGCGCAAGGACACGAGATTGAGAGCTGCCCTGACAGTGGAGAAGCGGGTGGCTATTGCAATCTGGAAGCTGGCAACTCGAGACAGCTACTGATCGGTCGCTAACCAGTTTGGAGTGGGGAAGTCGACCGTTGGAATCGTGTTGATGCAAGTTTGCAGGGCCTTTAATCTCATCCTGCTGAGAAGAACCATGACTCTGGGTAACATGCGTGACATTGTGGATGGCTTGGCACAAATGGGTTTCCCTAACTGGAGAGGGGTGATAGATGGGACGCATATTCCAATTCTGGCACCAGCCCACCTAGCCTCCGAATACGTTAATCGGAAGGGGTATTTCTCGATGGTTCTCCAGGCACTTGTGTATCGCCGTGGGTGTTTCATTGACATTAACGCAGGCTGGCCCGGAAAGGTGCATGATGCATGCATCTTTCGGAACACTGGGCCTGTTCAAGAAGCTGCAAGCCGGGACTCTTTTCCCAGACCAGAAGATCACCGTAGGGGAAGTCAAAATGCCCATTGTGATCCTTGGAGACCCCGCTTACCCTTTAATGCCGTGGCTCATGAAACCCTACACAGGGAGCCTTGACAGTAGCAAGGAGCGGTTCAACAACAGGTTGAGCCAGTGCAGAATGACCGTGGAGTGTGCTTTTGGCCATTTAAAGGGCCGCTGGTGCTCTCTCTGTATGGGAAACTGGACTTGACCGATGACAGCATCCCCGCGGTTCTATCTGCGTGGTGTACCCTCCATAACATTTGTGAAGGGAAGGGTGAACGATTCACTCAAGCATGGAACTTGGAGGTTCAACACCTGGAGGCTGAATTTGAACAGCCAGGAGCAGGGCTATTAGAGCAGCCCAACATGGGGCTGCAAGGATTAGGGATGCCTTGAGAGAGCAATTTGAGGCTGAAAGCCACCAGTAATGTCTGGTGCCCTGCACAGGAGTGAAGTTCAGTGGTTCCAATGTTAGTAGGAATCTTTGTTTGCTACGCTGACTTACCTTAGCCCAGGAAAGAAACAGGCACTGCATCTTTTACTTTATGCAATAATAAAAAATGTTTTCAAAGCCAAAAAATCCATTTATTGAAAAGAAAATTCATTTGTTGAAAAGAGACACAACTGCTTGGGAAACAGAAAGGGAAAGGGTTTGGGGGACGGTACAATCACAGATTTGCCTATGTCCTGTCTGGAGTGCTGTGCAATGAGTGCTGCACTTCAGGATGGCTATACTGCATGGTGATGGGGGTTGAGTGCAGTGGGTAAGGGTCGTAGTTTTCAGGGCTGGGTGGTGAAGCTACAGGTGTTGGAGGCAGTGGGTGGCAGTAAGAACCTGGATGTTGGGGAAAGTGGGCTGGAGGTGACATGGGGGCACAAGGGAAAGAGTTTTGGGACAAGGGCTGCGGGGGGGTGGGGGGTGGGCATGGCGTGGTAGTGCTCCGCCTGCATTGCTACGAGCGCCTGAATCGAGTCCGCTTGGCCCTCCGTGATGCTTAGCAGCCGCTCCATGCTTTAGTGCCGACGATCCGCATTCTGCTAGTGGACCCTCCTTTCACTCTCCCGCCACTCCTGCCCTTTTTGATTTTCATTCCTTGAATGCTGCATTACTTCACGCAACATGTCTTCCTTCCTTCTACGTGGCCTCTTCCTGATTCTTTGGAGTCTTTCGGCTGGTGATAACACGGGTGGCTGAGATCTCAAGGTTGCATCTGTAAAGGCAAAATGCAACACTTAACAGAGGCAGCATTGTTCACACCAGACAGAGCAATGATTCCCCCATACTTAAGGGCAAGCACAGTCTACACAATAGCATAATTTGCCTGTTCCAAAGCAAGAGCGCACAACCCACGGGAGCCCCAAAATGGTGAGTAAGCGCACGGTCAAGTGTGACTGATTGTTTCATGGTGGTACTGTCCTCTGGGTTTCTGTGCCTTTGGGGAGCCAACAGCAGCAGGGGGCCCCTATACTGAACACTGTCCCCACATTTTCCGCAGGAGTTCATCCTGGAAGATCTCTTGCTTCTGAGGAAGCAAGGGAGGGTCGTCTTCTGCAATGTGGTTTTCACCTTGGCCCATATGCAGCTTGCCTGTATGCAGCAATGGTCCCCTCGCCCCTCATGGCACAGTGGCGCGGAGAAGTTAGCCTGACTGGGACAAGGACCACAGTGGCTCTCCTGAGAAACCTGCGCAAGCGCATTGCCCAAGTTCTGGATGAGACCCTTGAAGAGATCACTGAGGCCGATTACCGCAATGTGAGAGAGCACATCAGCACCTATTCCGCATCTAGGCATGCATGCAGCCCTAACCCTCCTCGCCTCAAGAGCCCACACCAAATAACTTCTTTCCCAAAATAAAAGCCACTTACCAGGAACCTCCTTTGGTGTTTGTCCTTCCCCAAGCACTGGCCGCTGTGACTGGCTACCTTCCTCCTGGCTTGAGAACAGCTCCTGGCTGCATGCATCTAGGGATTCCGGTATCTTCCTCCGTCTCAGCACCCTTGCTCCCACTTTGCTGCTCCTCTTCCTCCCTTGTTGCACTGGGCTCTGAAGTGTCCATGGTGGTCCCCGGAGTGGAGGTGGGGTTGCCCCCAAATATGTCCAGCTCTTTGTAGAAATGGCAGGTCGCGGGGGCAGCACCAGAGCGGTTGTTTGCCTCACGGGCTTTGCAGTAGGCATTCTGCAGCTCCTTCACTTTAATCCCGCACTGTAGTGCGTCCCGGTCATGGCCCCTTTCCATCATGTCCCTTGATATCTGCCCGAAGGTATCGTAATTCTTACGGTTGGAGCCCAGCTGGGACTGGACAGCTTCCGCCTCCCAAACACTGATGTGGTCCAGCAACTCACCATTGCTCCATACTGGGGCTCGCCTGGCGTGTGGAGGCACGGTCACCTGGAAAGATTTGCTGAGAGCACTCCACGCATGGTTGAGCAAACGGGAAAGGATTTTTCAAAATTCCCAGAGAATTTAAAGGGCCGGTCTGACAGTTGGTCACCTAAGGGCCGGGCAGTAGAGTTCAAAGTGATGACCAGAGTAGCTAGCACAGGCATTGTGAGACACTTCTGGAGGCTGATCAGAGCGCACTATAGGACCAGGGTGTCCACACTGGTGCTGCGGCGCTCCAGCGGGGGCGCATGTTATTCCACTCACCAAGGTGGAGTACCAGGAGCGCTGTAGCTACAGAGTCAGAGCGCTCTACATGCCTTGCCAGTGTGGATGGGCAGTGAGCTAGTGCGGCCGGGGCTTCTTTATTGTGCTGTAACTCGCAAGTGTAGCCAAGGCCATAGTCTAAGTGTGAGACAAAAGATGACAGATGGGGAAGTACAAGGAAACAGTGAGACAGTGTTGGTCAGTGGTCTCAGCACATCATCAACATAACCATTGTCATGTTTTTTTGTCGGCCCTGTAGAAAAGGAGAGTTTGAAGGAGGAGGATGAGCTATTTTGCAGATATTTTATATGGAGCTCCTCCCAAGTGTGAAGGGACAGCATGGGAAAATGCACTAAGATGCTTATTTGAAAATTTAACAAGTGGGCAATGGGCTGATTGGAGGTGTGATCCAACACCTTGGTAATGAATGAGAATTGATAGGGTGGGGATAGGCTATGAAAGAGTCTGAAAGTGAAAGCAAGTAGCTTATATTTCTTGGGAGAGAGAAATGGGAGCTAGTGGAGGGATGCATAGAGAGGGGAGACGGGATGCAAAGAGAGGTCAAAGCAGTGGGAGAGGAAAATTACCTTTGCAGCAGCATTGTGAATGGATATGACTAAGGCAAGATCTAGTCTGTAATTAGAAGCTGTATCGTAAGACATACACCTCAGAGGGCTGAATTAAGACTGCACAGAAACCTGCATTTCCTATCTTTTGAGAGCTTGACTTTACAACCGTAATGTTCTCTTAGTGTGTGTGTGCGCGTGCGCGCTGCTGGTTTTTATAAATGCAAACTTAGACAGAAATTCTATGATGTGGCATCATATCAACACACGTGGGTCATCAGCAGTGTCTGCTACGTGGAACTTTGCTATTCGAGCACAGTGACTGTTGTCGTTCTGAGTGGAGGGGGATGAGACACTTTACCAGAGGCTTTCACCGATGTTTTCTGACACCAAAGGAATGATGACATTTGGGAATCATGGGTTCCACCCCAGTCTCTGAGGGGGAGTCATGTTCCCTAGTGATAACAGACCTGTCTGCCCTTTCTGCGCACAGCCCCCCCTCTCCCCCACCAACTTGACCCCTTCTGCTGTGTCCCCTCCAGCCTGGCCTTTTCTAAGTCCTATCTTTTGCCCACCACTGGCTCCTCATCCTGTTTTCTTCACCTAGCTATGTCACCACTCCTCAGGCTTCCCATCCTAGTCACAACCTCTAAACGGAGCAAGGAGATTAAAGTACCACCTCCCAGAAGGCACAAAATGAGGCCTAAAGACCTGTGCCTTGCACTAATCTGCTGTTGTCATGAAATTCTTGATGGGTCCCCATAGTTTAATAACGTTCAGGTTTATACTGAGTCTTTGGAGCTTCAGGGTTCCAGCACACGTGTGTGCATATTACTCCCTACCTCCCACATTTAGGTGGGGAAGTCTACAAGCTCCAAATTTCCCTCATAATACGATCTTTTTTTTAATGGATGGATGCCTCCACCATCATAGGAACCACAGAAGACCTGGACTCAGGTTCTTCCTCTCATCTGCTCATGTGCATAGCATGTTGACATGAGTATTTGCAGTTTAGTGCTTGGATTGCACATGGACCCTGATGTCTGTGACATATGTCTGACTGTTTATGCTTCCTTTGAGGGGATGGAAATGGAAGATGCTTAAGGAGCACAATAAAGTGAATTTCACTTCAGCGTGGGCTAATATGGGTAATTGTTCTTTTTAATCTAGTCAAGGACACTAATGAATTATACTTTGCCTCAGAGCCAGTGGCTTTAAAATTTTGTGCTGTGGAATTTTTTAAAATCCCTTCATATTGTGAGTAGAAATCCAAAGCTGTGGATCCAGTAACACAACTGCCTAAAAAGAAAGCAAGAATTACAGATAAATCCTCATTCTTTTGACTTTCTTTACAGTAAGTATCAAATACAGAAGATGCAGTTTTCCTTCTTGTTTCAGTTTTTTTGGCTTTTGGACTATTCATGATTGCTCAACCAATAGTGTAGTCTTGTTTTAAAATTAGAGATCTTGTTTCTTTTTCCAATAGAGGTAGGTATGGTCCAAACACTAGAGTTTGAGATAGGAACTCCCAACTTTAGACTTCCCTCCTGCTGTATTCTTGGAAAGCCCCTTTTAAAATATCTTGTTTTCTATCTATATAGTTGGGATAATACTTGCCTCATTGGGATGTTGAAGATTGATGAACCAACCTATCCTAAATGGGTTCTTGTATTGCTTGTTTCAGATTTAGAGTCACAAAAGTAGAGCACAAATCTACATCCAAAGAGCGGAAAAGCTTGATGTCTGTTAGTGGTGTTGAAGGTGTCAATGGAGAAGTGCCTGCCACACCTGTCAAACATGGATCACGAGAAGTTCCTGCCACACCTATCAGACAAGGAGCAGGAGGGAGAACTGGCACAGAATAACTGGTGGGTGCTGAAGATTATAGACTGACATGGAAAGTGGGATCTGGTGAGAGGGTCAGATATATTTTCACTGAGTTCTTTTGTTAAGATGTTAAATATGTGGCTATCCATATTCTAACACACATTGGTTAATTATAAAATGTCACAAAGAGAAAATACATCTACAAAGATGTATACACCACCTTTCAGTTACCTTGTCAAGTCTAACCAGACTCTTACCCAATTATTTATTTATATTCTATATTTAAGCTTTAAATTGAAATAAAATCCATTTATCTTTTATCGTCGCTTCCACAATCCAAAGAATGAAGAGGTGTAAAAGAACATCTGTATTTACTCATATTCTCTGTAAATTATTTCATTTCATTCCAGGTGCTGGTGAGGACTATGTCCTCAGTACAAAAAAATTATCACAACTGGCACTAACTGGAAAATACTTGGGCAGTCAGCAGAGGCATAAAGCACTGAATGGGCGTGGAACCAAACTTATTTATAATGGTGGTTGTTAAAAGACTTGCAGATCACAGCCTCACAGGAATATCTGAAATGTCTGTTATTTCCTATAGTTTAAATGCTGCAGTTATTGCTTCTTGTATCAAATGGTGCCATAACTGTGGAATCTTGGATACCTCTGAATGGTGCACATACCTTGTTAGGAGCACCATTTCAAATTTTGGTTGGGGTGGGGAGGCAACTTTAACCATGATTCCAAGGGCTACTTAGGCACCTGAAAACTTTTTTTTTTCCAGATAATAACTTAGAAATTAGCTGACAAGAGCCCTGTATCTAATTCTTATATAAAGAAAGAAAAAAATACATACAAACACCAATTAAAGCCATATTTAAGTTTAGAATAATGAGATAATACAGAAAGATATTCCCCATCCCAAAATTGGAATAGATCATCTGACTTGGAAGCATCCTACTAGGGCAAGTCTCCATGAGTTTATATTGCACCTACCTGGGATTCTAGGGGTGTTACTCTAGTACAAATAATAAGACTAGAAACTGACTTTAAACGGGAGTAAAACTGACATTTAAAAGTCACTTTCTCTTCTGTTTAAAGGCTGTTTACTTTCCAGGAGGCTCTTAAACACAACACTGCAATGATTGAGTTGTAGTTCTCACAGGAGAATATGTAAAACCAAACACCAAGAAAATTGCACATTTTAAAGTTTGAGAAAAAATAGTCTTGTTTATTATTTAAAGTTTGTAGATATGTTTTTAAAGTTCCAGTCTGTGTTGAGACGCTGTACCTCAGTTCTGATTGCTGTAAAATGGGAATAATATTTGCCTGCGTGCCATATGGAATTATAAGGATTAGATTGAGATCTGTGGGACAGGAACTGAGCCTTCTTAGTGGTTTGTATGGTGCTTAGCACCACTGCGGACTTCTCCTGATTTAAGGACTTTGGACACTAGTGTAACATTCATCAGCTGTTGAGATGCCTGCTGCTGGTAGCTGAAGGGGACTTACCTGGTGGGTGGGATGTCAGTGGAGTACAGGTCAATATCTGTGTTGACCAGCAGCACACCCCAGTGAGCTCAGCACCTGCTGGCAGAATTTTCAGTGCAGCATGGGAACACACCTGTCCTTGAAGCTGCACCCACTAGTGGACATGATGGCTCTGGATCAGAAGGGTCTGTCTCCAACCTTTTCCCAGGAAGAGGTGAGGGCGCTTCCTGCTTCTCTGAGGGCAAATGGATCCCAAGACCCACTTATCTGCTCCTAGCCCCCCCATCCTTCTTCAGCTCCCCTTCCCTCAGAATCCTTGCCCCAAGGTCTGTTCCTCCTCACTACTCCCTCCCTCAGGACACAGCCCTATGCCCTCACCTCTCCCTTCCTGTGGAGATTGACTCCCTTTTCCCACCCCACTGTACTCCTTCCCTCCCCAGGCTCCAGCACCCCCTGCTCCCTCTGTCCTTCCCCCCATCACCACAGGGGACTCTGTGCTCCCTCCTCCCACCCTGACTGACCCCTTCCTTGCCTGCTCCACCCCTAGGGGCCCTGCTCTTCCCAGGGGCCAACCCCTTTCTCTTTGGCTTGGGCCAGTTAAGTTGTCTGTGTCGGTCCTGCTGTCGTTTGACCCCAGTGGGCTAGGCTGTGCGAGCCCCTCATCTTCCAAGCTTTCAGACTCAGTTTGAATCCCCATCCTTGCATCCCATTGGAAGAGAGCGGCTGCTGATTAGAGGAGGGGGCGGGATGGGTGAGCTACCACAGTGTAGAAAACTGACTGCGGGAGCCAGAGAACCCTGGCTCCTGAAGGAGGGGACCTAGGTGCATGTCATGGCAGGTAAGAGCTCCGCCTGGGGCTGGGGTGTGTGCCATGAGCAGACCTCCAGTATGAAACAGGTTGAAATGGTGCCCCTGCTTGTGTTTGTAGCTCTTGGCTTTTTAGTGGCTATTGCTGCAATGACCTACATAAAGTGACCTACAAAGGACTTCCGTTTAAAAAATGGACTTTGCCCTTTTTGCTTTTCTTTTGCGGTAAAATGGTAGCTTGAACACTTTTTTTATTTTAACTTTTTAAAAGTGTTTTTTCTTGCTTCCCATTAGAGTCGATCTCTGCCAGCTAACCTGAGGTGATAACTTGATTCTACACTAGGGATTAACCTTGATTCCTTTTCCTAGTCTAACCAAACTCTCAGTTCTCATCTTTGTTTCTTGACTCGGACTCTTGTTTCACTGGTTCTCCTGTCTCCATAAAGTCTTCCAGGATAAGACAAGGTTGGGAACACTTAACGTGCATGCAGGATTTTTAAGTTTTTGTTTAATAAAAAAGAAATCCAGGCTTTCTAATATATCTCATGAAGCAGCAAGAAAAGGACATACAACATTAAAGTAAAAATTGAGTTCCAGTACATTTGGAAGGTTACTATAAAATAGTCTTATTTCAAACCCATACAAAACGATACAGGAGACATGTTTTGTATTTCTTTAATCTTTTTGATAGCATAAAACTTGACAGTTTTGCGACTCCATTTGTTAAATAACAGTATTGCTGCATATTACCTGAGCTGCTTTCTAAAATTTACTGTATCTTTTAAATTTAAAAATAGACTGTACCCTAGGAATGCATGATACTGCTATAGCTTTGCGAGAAATTTTGAATGTCCATCTAAGGCAACCTTGTGTGTATTGTAGAATCTCCCATAGGATTTAAGTGGTTGCTCGCTATTGAAACAGAAATAATGTGGGTAGTGGCGGAGGGACGCAGTGGAAACTTTTGTAAAGTTCATGCCAGTCTGATATAACTGTTCTGTAAATCATCTGGGAGAGAGCCTAATCCAGTGTTAGGCCATAATCAGGTCTTGACTGATGGCTAAAACAGTTTTCCCTAACATAGTTATAGACCCCTGTTTTTTTCTGTTCATACTGGCAAAAAGCTGTTCTAATATAAATTGAATCAAAATCCTATTTCACAGTTGTGTTTAAGAAAATTGAAGCAATAGTAACTTCAGGAATGTAACCTACATATTCCTTTTACTATCTCCTAAGAAAATATCCTGACTTACTGAAACTGAACAGAGATAGGTGCCTGTTCAGAGTTTTTTGTCACTGCAGCCAGTAAACATACGTTGATGAAATACATTCACATCTAGAGAATTTTGACCCTGATCCTCAGCTACAGTAAAAGGACTTCATGCAGTTGCAGGACAGGGAGGCGCAAAGGCATCGTAAAAGCTATGCACCAGCTGCCCACAGCATGAAGGGGACATTTCTGGCTGATAGAGATCACTGGGATATGGCAGAGGCAACTCTGTGCCCTGACATCAGCTGCAGGGTTTGGGCTGGTGTAGGGGCTGTTGCAGCATTGCTGTGCCACTTGAGGATTCCTGTATGCTGGGGGCATTCCTGCTTTAGGGCAGTTTTGTGCAGTATTGCCAACAGTTGCCCTAATATCCTTGAAGTTTTCCCTCTGCTTAAACTGCCTGTAGCCAGCATATTCTCAGCACTTTTTTGAAGTGAGCCCTGCAGTTGCACAGCTTAGGCTTGAGTGTCAATGCTGACTGCCTTCCTGGAAGTCAGAGTTTATTCCCAGCATAGCAATCTGTTCCACCAATTTAATTTATTTTGAAAGTAAAAGTTTACGTGGCATATAAGAGAAAAGAAAATAAAAACTTTTAAGCAGAATATAAACATAACTAGTCTAAATATTGTAGATAGCATAGCAAGCTCAGACCTTGCATTTGGATTGCAATCTATTGGATAAAGAAGATAAAAACTTCACATGGTAGAAAGTTCAATATCTGTAGTTAGTGTCCTCCTTTCTCTTTTCCCCCTCCAATTGAATTCCAGTTGCCCTGTGGAGCTTTTTCTAAGATGTTTAAAATTTGTGATTAGCATGTTTGGACATTCTCGTCTTTTACCTTAAATGTAGACACATAACCACATAGTCTCCGTTACACCATATTTAATTAAAAAGAAAAGGAGTACTTGTGGCACCTTAGAGACTAACCAATTTATTTGAGCATAAGCTTTCGTGAGCTACAGCTCACTTCATCGGATGCATACTGTGGAAACTGCAGAAGACATTATATATACAGAGACCATGAAACAATACCTCCTCCCACCCCACTCTCCTGCTGGTAATAGCTTATCTAAAGTGATCACTCTCTACAGCACAAATTTGTGCTGGAAATGGCCCAACTTGATTATCATACACATTGTAAGGAGAGTGATCACTTTAGATAAGCTATTACCAGCAGGAGAGTGGGGTGGGAGGAGGTATTGTTTCATGGTCTCTGTGTATATAATGTCTTCTGCAGTTTCCACAGTATGCATTCGATGAAGTGAGCTTATGCTCAAATAAATTGGTTAGTCTCTAAGGTGCCACAAGTACTCCTTTTCCTTTTGCGAATACAGGCTAACACGGCTGTTACTCTGAAACATATTTAATTAAAATCCTAAAAACCTTGTGTAACTTCTTCCCAATCTCCATTAATACAAAAAAGGCACCTTCCCATTTCAAAGTATCCCTTTGAAGTTTAGCTATTTAAATTGAATACATGCCTGCTTCATCCTAAAACTAATTATGGAATCTGTTGTTATCTTTGACATTTTCTTAAAGGTATCTTCACACTTGGTAAGGCAACTCCCATCCTTTCATGTATTTATATATTTTCCACTCCATGCATCCGATGAAGTGGGTTCGAGCCCACGAAAGCTTATGCCCAAATAAATTTGTTAGTCTCTAAGGTGCCACAAGGACTACTCGTTGTTTTAGCAAGTTAATTACTTTTCCACCCTCAGATAACTGTTGTTTACTAGTTTCAGATTGACAGCTAACACAGTACTTTAGAGACAGTACTAACCTTACTAAATGAGCAACAAGTGCAGTTCATGTCAGATAGTCCATGTGCTGCAAGAAAATGCTAATATTTTACTAGGGGAAAAAAAAATCTATAAATCACAGTACAGATAAACTAGATACAACCATAACAGGATGTATAGAAATTCAAAAGATAAGTAGGTATAATCGTCACACCCACTAATGAGTGTCATCTTAAACTTTCAGCACCAGAGTGCCACAGAGAAGTGATATAATTAAGGTAGATATATATGCTCTTTGAATGTCTTTTGTAATAGATTACGCACTTGGTAAAATTCTCATCTTTGCACAGGACAAGGTTAAAATTTTAAGACTGTCATTTAACATTTATGTACAAAAAGGCATTTTTCAAATTTTGAACATATAGAATCATAGGACTGGAAGGGACCTCGAGGTCATCTAGTCCAGTCCCTGCACTCAAGGCACGACTAAGTATTATCTAGAGCATCCCTGACAGATGTTTGTCCAACCTGCTCTTAAAAATCCCGAATGATGGAGATTGCACAACCTCCCTAGGCAGTTTATTTCAGTGCTTAACCACTCTGACAATTAGGAAGTTTTTCCTAATGTCCAACCTAAACCGCCCTTGCTGCAATTTAAGCCCGTTGCTTCTTGTCCTATCCTCAGAGGTTAAGAAGAACAATTTTTCTTGTTTGCCTCAGGTTTTCTGAGAACACTTAAGTTACTCTGATATGCATTAAAATTTTAGCACAGGTAAATCTGCCAGGTTCACCTAAAAAAACAAAAAACATACTCACATTTATCTCTTTCCCTTTTTAAGTATAACTTCAGCTTTAAATACATAAATGAAAATTGTTCATAATAAATAAAATGCACCCTAACTAGCATCAGCACTGTCACAGATTCTGTACTAGGGTGTGTGCTCTACTACCATTTTCTGACTCCAGTGTCTTTGCCATCACCAGATGACCTATTTATGCTAAGGCAACAAGGAGGAAGAGAAAACGCACTGAGAAGAGGAGAAGACACAGAGTAAGGAATGGAAATGAACACTAAAACTCATGTGACTCTTCTCTATAGGTTGACTTCCTAAAGTCTGTTAGAAATATTGGTCTGTATTCTTGCTCATTGTACTATGGATCAAGCAAATCTGAATTCTGTGGCAGGGCTCACCATACATTCCTGTGCGTAGGTTAGTCATTCACAATCAGTTTGTTAAACCCGGTATAATGGAAAGGTATGCATACAGGGTTTTTTTCAGTTAATTGTAAGTTTACTTGTAAGGCATCTGCTATTGATTTAAAGTTTTGTTAATCTAAATACAAGGCAATTACTTACATTTGAGCATGCTAAAAAAAGCCTGCACACACTATTCACTATATTAAACTAATATCTTGTGCTATCTTCTCCAGTCTGAGGACCCTTCTCCCAAATTCTTGGTTGTCTAGACAGTGGTATGTGTTAGAGTAGCCTGTAAATTGCTTTAATCTATCTGTTGCCAGTGACCCTCTGGGCCCTTATAGCAGCCAGGAATTTGCCAGATACAGGAACATTCCTGATCTTGCACTTTTTTCCTCACCAGAGCCCCTCTAGCTGGACTTAAGGGTGGCCTAGGAGCTCAATGATCAGGAGATCATTCAGTGACCAGTTAAGTTGGACTCCGGATTGTTTTGTGCACTCAAAGTGGTGCAGGGCAGCTCCAATGTACCAGTGAATCAGGCCACTTGTTCATGAGTGACATTCTGTTGCATTGTCAACAATGTACTTAAAGTAACTTTTGTAAAGGAAAACCAAGTCTGTCAGTTTTATTGTGGGGTAAATAGTTTTGTTTCCGTTGCAGATGGGGTTTTTAGAAGTGTGTTTGATAACATGTTGCTGAAATTGAAAACTTAGGAGATGTACTATTATAGGAAATGTATTTATGTCACTGTAGCTCTTTATAGTTTCTGTGAAGGAGTCTATGCAGGGGTAGGTCCTAAGCACTTAAGACTTGTAGCCAATAAAATATTTCCAGTCACTGACAGTGCTGCATCCTGTGGTCAGCAGCCTATTGGTTTGCCTTCATCTTACAAAGAAAAACGTATGTAACCCTTTGGGAAAGCAAATGTTCTTCCACCAGAACTTCCTAACTGCTGTGTCCAAATTAAAATATTTAATTAGCTTAGCAATGTAAACAATGGAAAACATAGGCAAGTTGTATTATATGGGGACAGCTTTATCCTTTATTTCCAAATAAGAAACTTATGGCATGGTGGCTGTCATGGTTACAGGGATAACAGCACTTTTGATCATTGTCTGGTCTCTGAGTATACCCCTCACCTCCTGAGCCTCATGTGTTTACTTCCCATGGGGTGGTGATTCTCCCCCATTTAAAGTGGGGCATTGAATCAAGCATGCTTATGCCAGCAGGTCCAACTACATTCAGCACCTGCTGGTCTGTCTTTGGGAGCTTGTTACCAGTGTCAAATAAAATAACCAAACAGCCTTCTGAAAACAAAAGTATTTTCTATTCTTAACAGTTAGCAGCAAAGTAAAACATGAGAGAGGATTTTTAAACAACAAAAGGCCTACATGCTGTCTGTCCTGTCGAAGCGCTTTCACTCTGCAAGAGGATCCTAGAAAGGCCTAGCTTTGTCAGACACCATGTTAGGTGTCTGTGGGTGTCAGTCTGTTTCCCCTGAACAGCTTCCCGATAACTACCTAACTGCTGGCCAGAGAATCTTTTTAACCAGTCTTCTCACATTCCTGTGCTTGGACTCTGCTGCTCAAAACCAATTTGGTGGGCTCCATTGAAGGTCAAGCCCACCTCTTCTGAGCCAATTGCCCTGCCATTGTCTACACACACATAGTTTTTGTCGAGGAATGTATTATCTTGAGTCATTGTTTTGCCTTCCTACTTGTTTTTTTACAACAGCCTGCTATTAAACTAAGACAATATCATATAGTAAACTTGCCTGACAACAATCAAACATATAGCACACAATACAGTATTCAAATATTATTATAGAGCAGCCCCATGTCCTTCAGAGTGTCTGTCTCTGAAAATAGGTACCCTCAATCCATATGTGCCAACTATTAAGCCATAATATCAGTGTCCTTTCTTATATTCATATTTGAGTGTGACTCTCTCATACAAAATCAGTGACTGTTAAGCAGTGCTAATTGTTGTTTTTGTCTACTTGCCATGATTACCACTTTGCCTTAGAAATGATGTGTTTAATTGGGAGCATTTGTGATATTTTGGCAGACTTTGCTGTATAACAGAAACTGAAAAGTGACACTTTTGCTCTACTGCGTGCCTAACAAGAATACATATCAATCTGTAGCTTTAATGCATGTCAATAGGGATTGTACTAAATCATGAGAAAACTATAAAGCAGTTTAATCTGCTTCACAAACTTCTTGTAAATGTCTTTATACTGATTCATGTTTTAAATAAATGCTGTGTTTTTGTAGCTGTGTCGGTCCCAGGATATTAGACACACACTGTGGGTGAGGTTATATCTCTTATTGGACCAATTCTGTTGAAGAGAGAGACAGAAGTTGGTCCAATAAAAGATATTACCTCACCCACCTTGTCTTTTTAAATGAATACTGTCCATCTTATTTAGTCAGAGTAAGTGCTCTAATTTTTTTCTTTATCTCTGAAAGTCAGGTTTCTCCATCAGCGCATGTATTGTTAATTATCAATATGTGTAACAGCAAAAGATTTTCCCCTGGCTATCATTTCACATGCCCCATAGGTTGCCACTTAAAGTTCAGGAATGAGGAATATTGTAGCAGTATTGCGAAGCCCAAAAGCTCAAAAATCATGAGTTAGGCTCACCAAAAATCATGAGATTATGTAAAAATAATAGATTTGATGTTTGTTTGCCTTCTGCTCTTTGAGCCTTCAGGGTGCATTGGAGGTCACATATTGAAGCTTTCTCCCTAGCCATGGGGGCTAGAAACTTACTTTTTCTTTAAGAATGAAGGCTGAAATCATCACACATCCCTTGACTCCAGGAGCTGGGGCTTAAGGAAAACAATTATCATGAGACTCATGAGAGTTGGCAACACTGTATATAGGGAAGTTTACATTGCTGACTGTGCTCTACTTGATCCGTAGGTGGCAGATGTAGTCCAGAAATCTCAGACCTACAAGAGAAACCAATTATTTTTGTCAATTCTAAATAAAATTAAGTCTTTTAACAAATGTTTTATTTACAGTTTTCAAGATCGGAGTTCCAAAAGTAACTTTTATTTGAGCCCGACTGCTATTTGGGAGTAAATACAAAGATTTTAATAGATTTTTCATTATTAGTGTAAATAAGATATATTCCTTCACTCAGATTTAACTCAGACTACCAATATAATCTTAAAACTACTAAAAGATACTTAAATTGATAAATCCTTGGCCTACTGTGTTTTCCCCTTATGTTTGCAGATTTCACTCTTTTCATGAACAGCTCTACAGCATACTAAAATGTATGCAGAAGGAATTTAAATCGTGCCTGTATATTAATTTCAGAATTCCAGGATATCGTGAGAATAGGTAACTGAAGTGTACATGTGTGACAGTATTTTTAATATTAAAATTACTGGATGAAAATGTGGACTCTAGAGTAAAAGTTGTTTTTTACTTACACAGTCAACTAAGCAGTTGATTGTTTTGAATATGAAGATGTGCAATTGTAGAGTATCCCAAAACCTGAGATTTTATTCTGATGGGAGCACATTTTAGTAATATGTGGCTTAACACTGCGAGTAAATATGCTCAAAAGAGTGAAAATGTTTAATATATATGCTATTTTTTACTTAATTTAAAATTAGTTGCTATTTTGATTCCATTAGAAATATGCAAAATTTTTATCCAGTACATTAACATGTAAAATCTTATTCGTTGAGATTATCTAGTAATTATTTAACATGAATTTCTAATTATGTACATAAGGCTGATGTTTGTGGGAAGTAAAATGTGTATTGCCACTTTAGAAAAAAAAATGTGGTAAATGTGTGATCTTATTGCATATAAGTGGTACAAACATTGCCGTCATCAAAAAAAAAACAAAAACAAATAAACCTAAACTTCATGAAGTCAGTTTTTCTTAATCTTGGACATCAACTGTATTTTTAACAATATGGTTTGTATAAGACTTTTGTACTACCAAAGTAGTAAAAAAAAAAAAAAAAAAAATAATAATAATAATAATAATAATAAACTGTTCCTAAACTCCTGTGTGTTCCTGTTTTAAAAAACCTTAATTCTTAAAAATATATATATGCTGTGTATTTGTAGCTGTTGTGTTTGCACTATAGTGAAATTGTCAAGCTCTGTGGGGTGGCAAGGAATTTATGCCACATTTTCACTTTTGCAAGAGCTGCTTACCTTCCAGTGAAGGACCTCCTGGAGATCCTTTTTTGATCTATATTTAATCTAGGAAGACCGATGACATAGCGCTTTAAACCAAAGATTTGAAGAATCTGTGTCAAATATATTAGGTGTGCACATTTCTCAATTTATTTTTCACGTGTAATTTTTTTTGCCATGTTTACAAATGACAGGAAGCTATTTGAATTTGTTGTTTCTCAGCCTGGCCTGCAGTGGAGTTACAATGTTCTTTGTCACATTGCAATCTCCATGACAGCAAGCTGTAATAACTGTTATGACAACTGTACAATTATGACTTCATTGCAGGGTGGATCAGAAGGAGACCCAAAGCAAGTTATTACTGGGGTTAACCCAGATTGGGTTATCAGTATGCCACCAGGATAGGTATGTCCTGCAACCTTTGCTATTTTATATAAGTGTTTCTACCTGCATCATGAAAACAAGGCCTTTTTCAAGCTATTGTGAAGGGTTTTTTTAATTGAGTAGTGCAGTCCATGGTGCAGGATGAGCCATTTTCCTTTTGTCTCAATCTTCTAAATGTTGGAGCAGCCCAGAAAAAGCTTAGCCCCAGAAGCACAACTGGACTTTGTGTTGCAATGCCCAACTTTTAGGTACCAAGAAAAATCACTGAAATTCACAAGGCCTGAGTTAGGTGCCACAAAAGCCAGCATCCTAGGCAGCCCCCTGCTTAAGTGAACCGAAAGGACACATCCCTTCTGTCTGTACTGCTAAGCCCCACCTCTCTCTGGAATTTAGGCACCTAAATCCAAGCCGTAGATGCTTCCCTCTGCTTGGGATTTACATCCAGGAAACCCTCACCCGGAGTTAAGTGACTAAGACATTCTTTGCAAGAAATGGCTGGAGGAGGTGATGCTGCAAATGCTTCCCTTATAACTTTTAGCCCAGTGTTTAGACTCTTCACTGAGGATGTGGGAGATGCGGGTTCAGTTCCCTCCTCTGTCTGAATGTTGGGGGAGGAGAGAGGATTTAAACAAGATTGTTCCCCTGTTCAGGTAAACATCCTACCCACTGGGATATGGGATATTTGAATGTGAGTCTCTCCCCATCTCTCCTGTTGAAGATGTTCCACTCTGGATAAATAATCATTGGAGCAGGGGGACTGGACCCTGTGTCTCTCACCTCCCAAGTGGGAGTAAGTTGGGATGCGGTCTAAACAGGTTTCCAGCTATGTCATGCAGAAAGTCTAGCTCAGAATAGAGCAACAAGGCAATTCACTTGTGTATGAATATCAGAGAAGGGTTGAGTATCAATATTCAGGCCAATTCACTCGTTCTGATAGAAATCAAAAGGGATGTTGATTGAATTATTTTCATCGGTCTCTGACCTGTACTTAATTAGCCTTGGATTGAAATATATTAGTGTTAAATAAATGTGAATTTACTTGCTGTGTAAAGCTGCATGAAAACTATAAAGAATTGTTTCTATCACTTTATGTTTACATTATGTTTACCCATTGGAGACTGGAGTATTGGATATGTTAATTAAGGAACATGTTGACATCAAAGCCTGGCTGGTCATTCTGTGTTCAGCAGTGGGGAATACGGACCCATGCTGTGAAGGTAATGCTTGCCAGACTGTTTTCAGCTATAAGAAGGGACCCTGGGAGCGATTCTGCATCTGTGATCTATTTGGATGCTGTCAGGAGGCGTTCCAGGTACAAGACAGAGGTCCCCAAAGCCATTTTGGGCAACCCTGAGAGACCTTGAGAAACGAGCAGCTACCACATTGCTGCCATCATTTGGACTTACAAACTGTAACTTCTACCTGCTTTAACCTCTCAATATCTCTCATTTCTTTGCTAATAAATCTTTAGTTTAGATTGGCTTTTGCGTTGTTTTTGGTGAGATCCAGAACATCTCACCAAAAGTGACTGACCTTTGGGGCTGGGAGTAACCTAATGTGTGGTGATTTTTGGTTTTAATAACCTTTCTTCACAAAAGTCCAGTTTGTCTGAGTGTCAAGATGTGCTGGAGAGCCTAAGGGGGCCATCTGTGCTCCGTGGTAAGGCTAATATCGTAATCCAGGAGTGCACACTTGTTACTGGTTTGGTAAAATCTAATTATAGAATATACCATCAGTTTGGGTGTGTGCACTGTTTTCTGATGATCTGACCTGAGTTTGGGGCACTGAGTTGTGAGCCACACTCCAGACACCATGACATACATGTTTATCCAAAATATGTCTCCCTTAACTCTTCCTTTCCTGGTTTTCAGAGGCTTGAGATCTCAACATTCTGGAAGGGCCTGAGAGAACTCCAGCCAACTTTGTTTAAATCTATGGTAACTAATCTTTTTGTCAGTGAATCTTTTATTTAAAAAACAAAACAAAACAACTTAATGGTCATTTAGGTCATTGCTCACCTAGGTTTGCAGTTGATACATTAGTGGGGCTAGGTAATAACAAAAAAACTGAAGTTTTGTACAGCACTTTTCATCAGTAGATCTCAAAGTACTTTTACATCATTGAGCCCCATTTTACAGATGTGAAACAAGCATAGGGAGGTAAAGTGACTTGACCAAGTCCCCCACCAGGCCAGTGGCAGAGCCTTGAATAGGCCCAATGTACAGGTCTCTCTGCTAGGCCACATGGTTGCTGTGTGATTGTGCTCTTCCCCCTCCCCTCCCCCCAGCTCTAACTTTTTTGTTTATCGTGGAATGGGGATAATTGTACTAAGGTCTAATTGCTAACAGTGCCCGTGTGAGAGTTCAGATATGGCCTATGTGCGGCATAGAATCGAAACAGTTTTACCGCATGGTGGCTACCGTAACTTTTAAGTGCATGAAAGAAGACCGCTGTATGTCTTTTATCACTATTCCACACAACAGATAGGCCCCTCTCCCCACACACACATGCACCAATACTTCCATCTCACTCTCTTTTTCCCATCCCATTAAGCTATTCGTTAACACTGTAGGGACTGTTGGCACATAAAAAGATGCTCTTTGTTGTCTTGTGTCCTCTGTTGCTGTGTACACATTACAAGCAGCAGCTTACTGGAGGGCTGCCCACTTCCTTGGTTATGAAGTCTTGGCTAGGTTCATCATCATCCCCCCCCCCCCCCCCCTTCCATCCCCAGCTGGGCCTTCCACCCAAACTCCTTATCCTTTCCTGTCCATAGTCATTTATCCCAGCTACCATTTGTATGTGAAATGTATTTTCTTTTCAAAAATAGTTTGGGCACCATCTCAATTATTTGCTGTTTTCAGATTACATTTCTTCAAAATAAAATTAAATAAAAAATGGAGTTGACAGAAGTGGATTTTACTCAACTATTTACAGTTCACTTTGACTTCTGTGCATAATGGGTTTCAAACTTCAAAGTTGCTAGACTTCGAATTGTAGGAAATGATGTTTTTCTTCCAGAGGTTTGTATCTCAGGAACCCCTTGCTTAAATAAGCCCCACCATGACTGACTTACCCTCTCCTACTCTCCCATGAGCAATGGCAAATTTGAAGACAATCCACCTGAGGACCTGGAAGAGTTGTTTAAACAGGAAGGGCTTCCCAACCTTAACTGAAGCAAAGCTGGTGCTTCTGCTGTAATATAGTATAAAATCAATCATCGTCAATTGCTTTGCTGATCCAGATCCCTAGCACAGGGTAATGCTGAAAGGGGGTGTGACGTTTCCCTCTGGTGTTATCTGCTGGGTCACTCCACTCCTTGACTCTGGGAGCCAGTCTTACCCTGCTCTGCTGTGAGAACCCCCACTCCTGGACTGTTCACACACAGCCTCTGGCATGTAAGCTGCTCTTTGGATTGTGCAACTGAATGACACTAGCCAATATCTCCGGTCCCAGACACAACCCTAGGAGCCTCCAACTTGCAGTGCCCAGTTATACCTGCTGGACGCTGCAAGCTTATATGAGTTTGTCGATTTAACAAAGAAATTGATATGTACCAGACTTGTTATCCCAAGGGGAGCCTCTGACACACTGCAAACCAAACGCACTGCTTCAGGTAGAATAAATAAAACAAATTTATTAACTATAAAGATAGATTTTAAGTGATTATAAGTCAAAACATTAGTCAAATTTGGTCCAATGAAATAAAAGCAAAATGCATTCTAAGCTGCTTATAACACTTTCAATGTCCTTACAACTTGAATGCTTCTCACCACGGGCTGGCTGGTTGCTCTTCTGTAAGGCTCTCCCCTTTGATCAGTGCTTCAGTCGCTTGGTGGTGTCTGTAGATGTAGGTGGGAGAAAGAGCATGGCAATGTGTCTCCCTTTTATCATGTCCTTTCTTTCCTCTTGGCTTTGTCTCCCCCCCACCCCCCCTCCATCCCACCGAGTCAGGTGAGCATTACCTCATTGCAGTTCCAAACTGACTAAAGGAAGGGGTGACTCCCTTGAGGGTTTGTCCCATCCATGACCTGATGAGGTGTGAACTGCCTCTCTGTTCTTGGAGAGTTTTTGCATGGGCTCACTTTAAGCTATGAGGATACATTTTCAGCCTCATAACTATGTATATGAAATTATAACATAACCATGCTCAGTGCATCATGAGCCTTCTGAAGACACCCAACATCACAAACTTTGCATTGGATACCACACAATCATTTTATAAAAATGAACATGGGAGAGTAGGGTGTTCCCCTGAGGTACAGAGTGTCACAGGGGGACTTTTGAAGGAGGGAAGGGTCTTTATACATTCATCTGAAGCATAGAAAGCTCCAGAGAGCTGAGTGTTCCCATTCCCCCTTCTCTGTGCTGAAGAGCCTGTGATGTGCAACAAGCATGCCCGTTCTCAGCTCCAGTCCAGTCTCAGGAGTGTGTTCATGGTGTATTCTGTAAGCATACCTGTATTTCTCAGCTCCCTACCCAGCGGTGCAGGGCTTCCCCAGATCCTGGCTCACATAGGGGGCAGGGAGCGGGGCTCAGACCTCGAGGGGCAAGGCCCCCTGATACCAGCTTACATTGTGGGGGAGAGGTTGAGAAGAGCTTAGATCCCTCCCCACAGCTCAGCTTAGCTCAGAGGACACACACAGGTCAGGCAGAGGGGCCTCTTATTGCCTAGCTCACATAAGGTGGATAAGTAGGGGGATTTAGTCACCTATAGAGGGGCAGAGGCCCCAGATCCTGGCACACAAAGGTAAAGAGAGGGGCTCATATCTCCTCAACCAGAGTTGGCCCCACACACAAGAGGGGAAGCTGTGGGACTGACAAGTGCCCCTGAACCTATACTTCCCCAGCCACTCCCCCCCATGTCCCTTTCCTAGTGTCCTATCCTTCCCCTCCTGCTCCCTCAGCTGAGCCCCCTCCTACTACCACTCCCCATAATTCTTGCTCCTTGTATTCCCCACACTCCTGTCTCCTAACCCCCTTACAAAGTATTTGAATATGTCCAATTGTTTTTGTTCAAAAACACTTTGATTACATTACCCCATAATAATTAAAAAAAACCTCTGACTGAAAGAATTTAGCAATATGCTTTCACCCCTTTTCCAGATTTCTGTTCTGGAGGAGGCTTGGTCTTGAATTAGGACTGTGTAGTTCATAATCAAAGACTAGGCATATCCCTTTGAGTTATGCAGCCATACTTTTTTCAGCTCCTCTTGAACTCCTTTGTCTGCGTATGCTCAGTGTACTCTATTTAGGTCAGGAACATTAGATGTGAGCGTAAAATGAACCCTAAGCTCTAGCAAATACCATTCTAAATTTGACTCCCCCAAAGGGGTACTGGGTGTGATTGGGGGTTGGGGGGAGACTCTCCAGCAACTGAGATCCCTGTGCCAGGATCAGCTCCATGGATTGATTCCCAGGTCTGAGCAAAAAAACATTGTGAAATGTGAAACCATACTTCAAGGCAATACATATGGATTTCAGAGCACTTACAGACCTAGAGGTCTGCCCTAATAATACAAACCAGAACTTGCTAAAAGTCTGTAACAGGAATGTTCTTTCCGCTGGAATGTAACCAGACGTACAAAGAACAATGGATCGTTAGTTCGCCACTACATCCATGCGCTCGCGTGTACTCCCAATATCCATTGTAGCGACAGGATTGCAAAAATGTGGAGATTAGCCTGCAAGTAATGAGACTTTAAAAGGGATAAATCATGGTTTTCGGTCTGTCTTCCCCTCTGTGCTCTCTCAAGGTGGGTGTGATACTTAATCAAACCCTGCGTCTAGCAGCAGCAGCTGCTCCCATGCCCCTAGCGTCCATTACCTCCTGCTCCTTGCAGGAAAGGTAGGGGTTACTAGGTATTACACAAACGCCCACAGGCAGCTCAGTAATTTTGTCTGCCGCAGTTCCTCCTTCCGCCGCTAGAGATCACTGTGCTCAGAAGTGGCAGCATTAGCTGCTCCCATTGGCTGCAGGGTGCCCTTGCATGCACTGAGTAGGGCAGAGTCTCTGGAGTAGGTGGAGCCGTCCTTCCATCGCAGGCCAGCAGCAGCCACCACCCCAGTGTGAGGAAGGGGGAGTTAGTGGAGGTAGGAGCCTGGGGAGCCCTCCCTTTTAGGCTGGAGCCGGAGGGGGGGCTAGGGTTGCAGGAGCATGCCTGGGGGGTGGATTGGGGCCACATAGTAGGGTAGGGTGAGGTGGGGAGGGCAGCGGAAGGAGGGAAGGAAGGTGGAGTCAGGCTGGGGGAGTTGCAAAGAGCAGTAGGTACACAGGAGAAGTTTTAGCCAATTAATCTCCTGGATGCTTAACTGATTGAATGTCTCCCCCTCATGCTTTTCAGTTTATTCTCTCTTGTCTTCAGTATACTGGAATGGTAGTGCCCCATGATAAAATACAGAATTGTTACCTATCACAATGTTTTGCTCATCTCACTGGACCGGCAGATTAAATTTGATTTGTTGCAGCTGGATTTAGGT